TTTTTGTTGAATCGTCAAGACATGGGCACATAGAAGTCTCCCCAAGATGTTATGGTCAATAGTGTTGTCCTAATGGGTTACAAGTTATGTGCCAATGTGCTTGCAGCCGGTTTGGGTCTTCGGGCCCCTACCACTCATCCTACTACTATAGAATCATTCTCCTCATCCTCATTCTCAGCCTTTTTTTTGCTTGGGCGTTGTCGGCCTGTGGAGTCCTTCTCTGTTGTTTTGTTAAAAAACTGGAAACTTTGAGTTTTTGATTGACCGCGCTGACAGGAAATCAATATTTCTGACAAAAATGTTCAGAAACACCGCCCGCACACAGCGAAAACCATTGTTTTTTGACAATTACGGCACACACAAAACGCAAAGTTTTGAACAACCCAAACGCACAAAAAATTATCTTTTCTAGGAAATAAGCCTAATGGCCATTTTCAATCGCACGACAGACACAGGCCCAAACGATATACCTAAAGCCTTTTCCTATCCTTTCTTCATCCTCAAACTCCTGGTCTCCAGCCACAAGCGATCAAGATGTTGCATTTCTTCCCAGGCTCAGGTATTTGGTTCTCTTTCTCACACCAGGCCGGGCTGGCATTTGTTTGGCCTGAGTTCAACTACCTGCGAATGTGATGGAATCCGATTCAAGAAGTCCAGACAACTTCACCCATCCCACTTCATTCTTCCTGGAAGACATCTCACCCGCCGCGGACTTTTGCGGACATGGCAGGACTAGTGGTGAGCAAGTGGTGAAGATAGAGACGCTGCAGGAGCCAACTCAAACTTGGAATCGCGCCACGGAAGACATTTACCATACGATAAGGGTACTGTCCAGTTCAGGGTATCACGCATCACGTGCAGTTTGGTCACGTTGGGTCAACTATCACAACTGTCAACACCAAAATTGCAACACAGAGAGATTGGGGCTGTCTTTGGGCCGTCCCGTGCGGTCCCGTGCCTTTGAATCGGTCGTTTCGGCGTTCCGTTTGGACTCGGACCAGATTGGCTCGAGACAGCCGGAGACAGCGTGCTGCGTCGTGGTCAGGAGCAGAAGGCTGCACCGAGCATCTCCAAGGCTGAGGAGCTGAAACCAAGGGTAAATCCCCTGTGTAATGCCTGGGGTTGGCACCATGTGGGGAACACCATGTTGCTAAGGGTCTAAGAGAATGGCAATCGGACAGCCAAGAATAGACGTTGCATGATACACCAAATAGGGAACTGGGTATCAGGTTGAGAGTATTCAAACATCCCGACAGTCCTTCAGGATGTTGAACCAGTACTAGTTGGTGATTTCACGCAGTGATTGTTCCACCACTACTTGGATGACGAAAAGGACGCTATTCGCTGGAGGCCGCTACGAACGGAACAAGAAGCTACTATAGTAGCAGTCACCTCATTGTGGAGCAAGAGGACGCTACTAGGGGCTCCTGGCATCGCTACTAGGAGCAAGGACGCTACTAGGGGCTCCTGGCCTTACTATTAGGAGCAAGTGTTCTTTTTTAGTGACTTTGGTTGTGTGTTTTTCACGCGCACAGGAGCCCGAAGACTATGGGCCCACAGGCGCCGTGTCGGGGCTCCCGGCCACCCGACACTGGGCTGCCGTTCCACCGGCCCCGGTGGAGTAGGGCAGCTCGAAGTGTGGGAACCCGCGGAACACAAGGGAAAAAGTGTGACAACATCAATTGGACCAGACTCTTGATAAATAAGGTACCCATTTGGAATGTGAAACCACTTCATAGGAATGTTCGATATTCATGCAAGAGTCTACGTTCTAGTTGGAGGGGAATGCCACATAGTCCTGAGGCTGAAACTCTAAGCCCCATCTCAAATGCAACTCGTTGAAAAGAACTGTGGCGACTGTTTCGCCAGACTGTTTGCGCCACCAGCTGTTCTTCCCGACCGAGGTTCGTGGATGATGAGGACCGGGTACGACGCGTGGAGTCCGGTCCGGGAGGTTCGGACCGTTCTCACAGCGAGCGAAAACCGCTGGGCCATATACTCCCCAAACTGGTCCTAACATAGAACATGCGAATTGACCTGTGGAAGACCGGTGGTTTTTGGGGTTCCATGTGAATCTGCAGGGCAGTATCCCCTACCATCATACACCGTAATTACACAAAGACATAAGTAGATATCCGACCTCAAACATGGAAATACAGTGTAGCAACTTCAAGCGTTTGACGTTTGCTCATTGCACCTTTTTCTTCTCCTTGCTTTTGAACTTGGAGCAATCCTGGACTCCTGGACTGGGTCCGAATGTGTCGGCGCCAGTTGACTGGCATAGTTGCATTCAAGGGCTGCTCGATGAATGCTCCACGGAAACAGTTGCAAATGTGTTTAGAATGCGCGTCGGTTTGGTACTGGTTGCTTGGTATTTCTTGTATTTAAGTGTTATCACCTGGAATAGTTCAATACTAATGTGCTCGATCATGGCAAAATGGTGAGAAAGCTCCGCAAATGGTGACTGGGTTTTGGCGGAGAGAGAAAGGCACTTCGGTTCTTTTGAGATGCGATGCTGATCTGAATCAAAATAACTCTTGCCGGCATTGTGGAAGGCTTGCACACCTCGGAAGGAGGGCTTGCTGGGAGATGATGTGCCGAAGAGTCCCTCGGGAGTTCCCCCTGCAGGCGGTTTCCGCGTGGAGCGGTCAGGTGTCGTTCCAGGGAAAATGCAAACCAACTGCGTCAATTGCCCCAGTTGATTGACGTGTTGAACTCTTCGTCGCATGGGTTGGTCGATGAGATGGGGACTTCAAACAGTCTAAATTAAAGATATTAATTATTACTTAGGCGGCTCTAGCCGGATGTGGATGAACCGACTGTTTGTAACCCTGGGGTGATATGCATGATTGATTGGTCAAGATCTTGAGTGTGTTCGTAGACACAGGACACAGCGTGAAGACTGACCTGCCAAGGGGTCAGGTTTGGGTTTAATGAAACTGCTTGGGACAGGTACGATTCTGAGTTGTTTCGGCAGTCGCTCATCACCACCGGGGGCATCAAAGAATCTGAAACAATCTGAAACATAATTAAATCATCTGAAATCCGCGGAAACTCAGAAAAGCCACTAAAGTCAGTTGAGGTTTCAGCAGCTGAAACTTGCACACTTATTCATCCACGGTCACAAAGGTTCACGATTCACTCGACGAGTTCAAGCCGCGGCAACTTAAGTCAAGGTGCTACGCGAGACTTCGAGTCCGATGATGAGGATGAGGCAACCAGTAGAAGGGAGAGAAAGCTGAAACATTGCGTATTTAGATTGGTAGTATATATTAATATATATATATATTGTAAGTTATTGTAATAGATTTATACAAATGCCAAATGTATAATAGTAATAATTGTCAATATTATTCCTCATGGACGTGCTGATTGTAACAGCTTTGTATTGCAATGTGGATTCAGTACCTGAAACCGTAGAATGGCAGATGTGCAGCGATTCCATGCAACGACGAAGTCCGATTTGGGTTCAGAGTCGAGGCAATGGCTCCGCAAGAGCAGGTGCATCGCGGCGTTGTTTGTGATTTGTTTTGTTTGGTGCAAAGCCTAAAGCAGAATAGAATCGAAGCAGGGAGAAATCTAGAGAGGGTGAAGGCTTTGCTTCGATCGGGTAACAGAGTACAGGGTGTGCAGAGGCATCCCACGTCTATAGGTGTGCGAGGTGAGTTAGTTAAGTTGGGGCTCAACAAAATTGACAACAAGACTAAAGCGATACCCAAACCATGCCACAAAATACATCCAAGGCGCTTTGAGTCAATTGTGAACCACTTGTGTCGTCGTACAGAAGCAGATGGAGAAGGCCCAAGGACCTTTAAGGACCCCAAACTTCAAAGAAAGAAGGCAGAATGGATCAGAATGGCAGAAAGCACATGGATGGCAACCCAACACCCCAACGGGCCCCAACACCATATCGATGTTTGACGATCAGTTGAGCAACAAACAACGACGGCGGTCGCCCATCGGAACAGTGTGTTGAGACGGATCTGACCGGTCCATGTCTCTGCGAAGTTGACGACAACGTTTTGACCGGTCCATGACGCATCAATAGTCCCATGAGTGTTGAGAGTGTTCATGAGTTGGATGTCCATGAGTTTTCATGACCACGCAATGACACCTCTTTTGAGGGAATTGAGCCGAGGTGTATACGGTATGTCCATTCTGTTGATGGGCAATGTTGGACACTCTTGGCCTTTCATGCATCGCCTCCAGTGCCAGTTGCTCCACTCCAGCAAAGATCGCCAGAGTCTTCAATGGATCTTCAACATTTCACATGCAGGGAGCGGCCACTGGCACGGCTGGTGACCTTCACGGGACATTCCAGAAGGTCTGGGCATCCCTTTTGCTGGGCGACCTGGGCGTTCCACCCCAAGGCTTTGTGGCTCACAATGTTCCTCTGGATTGAGCGACCGAACCTGCGTCGAGAGCCAGGCTCCTCCGCCAGTGGAGGCTCCTGTAGAGCTCCCACCACCTCAGCCGCTGAAGGGCGTTGAGCGAGAGGACGAGTCACCATTTGACGTTTGTTTTCAGCGGTCATTATTTGAGCTTACTTGTAGTTTCTGAACTTCTTCAGGGTATGAGAGCACTTACAAAGCCCTTCGCTGTTGCTGTGTGCACTCAAGATTCTGGAATACCTGGATACCAGCCCATGTGTAAAATCACGGATCAACCCCAAACGAGTCATCACCATACAGGGTTGAAACCTCTGACACATTGTCACAGGGTCAAAGCCCTGACCGAAGTTGTAAAATGTTGTAAAGGGAACTAGTTAATGGGTCGGAATCAGTACCAACAAGAAAAGACCATTAGCAAGTCAACTTTTCCAACTTCCACTGATGACTTTCAATATCAAGGACCTTGCCAACCTGGAAAAGGCACAGTTGAGGGGGTCAGAACAGGATGAATGATGATCAACCCTGAAACAAGAGGTCGCAGTTGATGCTTCTGATGCATCATAATTCTGAAACGAAACACCATGTTGAAGCAATTTAAAACGAATATACAAAAACTATATGCCTTTCCGCAGCGTCACGCCTTTGGCGCTCCCATGACTCTGGCGCTTCGCCCGCGTTGGCGGCCGCGCCTCCCTTTCCGGCCGCTGGCAGCCTCCGCGCTGCGTTTGGGCATCCGGGGCGAAGCCGCGGGCGAAGCAGCCCGTGCACGGGAGCGGGAGGCCGGGAAACGTGGCGCCAAACGTTGAACATACGGATGATTTGCAGGGCGTTCTTTTTTCATTTGTTTCATCATGTTTCATCCAAATCAAACGCAGTTTCTTTGTGAACGCCTGGGTGTTTTCTCTTTCCGGAGTTGGCTTGAGAAGGACAGGTGGAAAAGATTCCCTCCAGACTCCAGCCTACGATATAACAACATTCGCAGGTCTGTTTCGAAAGTTGCCACTTCTGCATTCGGCACATCTCAATGCCAGGAGGGACGCATGCAGAGACAGATTCTATGATATCCCATGGTCCCAAGTTCTTCACACGGACGAGATCACATCGGATGTAAAGATGCCACAGACTCAGTGATGCATCTCAAGTACGGCACATGCCTCTACCCCGCTATGCCCAAATGCGTACGGTAAACCGGGACGTTCACCGGTCTTCACTGCGGTTTGAGGCGGATAGTCGAACATCACATCCGGAGACTGACAGCCCCGTCTCGGGCTTCGCCCCGCACGACGGTCGACTCGCAGAACAGATGGCCAGGTGAACCTGGCATGCCAAGCCTTGTCTGAGAGCTTGCGGTGTGGCGACCGCGCCTGGTTCGAGCGGGTGATTCAGCAGCTGCGACAGGTGCTTCTGGAGCAGCAGAATGAGACTGCTCTATCAGAGGCCACCACTGATGGGGTTTGGTGAGATCTTTTTGGATCAAACCTGGGTTGAACGAACTATAGTGGATGGCACTATAGCACCTGATCTAGCGTATCGAATGGTGAAAACATGAAAGCAATAAACCATTGAAACATAACATAACATAACACTCACATAGGATGCTGAAGTTGTGGAGCGAGGCAGGGGGTTGAGGGCGTGAAATTGTGAAATGTGCGACCATGTGTGACCAATGTCGAATGGGCAATGGTCGATGAAACGGTTTGGGTCCAGTGGTTGCCCTCTCCCAGCAGGATGTGACCCCGAGCTTGTAAGCTAGCTGCTCCTGAAATGGTCTTGGTAAAATCTCCAATCCATCTTCCTTTACAGGAGATTCTAGATTCCTCTAGTACTGCACCAATTTCTGGGTGGTCCATTATGGCACAGGTGATTCCGCAACAACTCTTGCCCTTAGAATATTCTACAATGGTGCTTCTTCACTTCCAGCCCCCCTTGGAGAAGTTGGAGAAGTCATCCAGGCAGCTTCAGCTTGCGAACCCGAAATCTATTGAAATCCACCAGTCCTCACAAGCCAATTGGGCATGAAAATGGTAAGTTTCAGAACGCAAAAAGACAATGACAACGACATTGATCAATTTGACCCTTCAACAACATTGTTTGAGGATGTTTGAGGCCTTTCGTTTGCGAATCCACCCCGGACCTAGCCGATACCCGATTCAAGCATCGAACCGAAAGAAGATAAGGACCGACTTCATGATTCACCCACCCAGCCCGTGGCCAAAGAACATGTCAGAATTCCTCCATGGTCCATCTGAGTCAGAACATTGGATGATCTGATTTCGTCGCCCAATCAAATCAAACAATGCCCACGGAACCCTCACCAAAGGACCATTCCTGATGCTTCACGCTCGCGGACGCAGGTGGTCGCGTCCGCGAGCAGCACCGTTGCGCCGCGTCCGCCACCGGCTGCACCGGTCGTCAGCTTTCCGCTGCCGTCGACCGCGTCCACGTCTCGTGGGACGGACAGGAGAGGCACAGAGAGGCGCGGCGGTCGTCCATCACCAACCGAACGGTGCATCTTAATGAGGCGAAGCGAACCGAAAGGAGATCACCGAAGGATTTGTCCCCACCTGTCAGGTGAGGGTTGGTAGGTTTTATATGATTTTATGTCAGCTGCCATCGTCCTCCTCCTCGTCCTCCTTCTCCGCCTCCGCCTCCGCCTCCTCCTGCGGACCTCAACTGCAAGTGCAGGATGGCAGTGTTCCTCACCAGACCAGGTCCGGCTGGCAGTGCTCCGGCTGGCAGCGTTCCCCGCCAGACCTCAACCGCGAGCTTCGGCTCGCAGCATTCCCCGCCGGACCTCAACCGCGAGCTCCGGCTGGCAGCGTTCCCCGCCAGACCTCAACCGCGAGCCTCGGCTCGCAGCATTCCCCGCCGGACCTCAACTGCGAGGCAGAAGATATGCCAGACGGAACGCCAGAAAGAATGTCAGAAGACTTGCAGAAGATAGGCAAGATTGAGTGTCGGAGTTGAAGGAATTTTACAGGTTCTGAAGTGCCACGGTGGGGGTCACTCGAAGTAAAGCAGTCTTTACATGTCTTTACCCTTTTTGATGAGCCGAACAAAGTGGAGTTGTAGACTCTCGACATTCTTGAAAGTACACCCGGATTTGACTTGCTGCGGCCTAAGAGACTCCCTGTTTAAGTCTTGGCCACCCTTCCCAACTGATGCGGGGCTCTTCATGCAAGTCTACACAAACTAGTGCTTGAGTCTAAGACCCTGAAAACGTTGAGGAATGTCTGTCCAAGACATACAAATTTATATTAATATATATTGAACACTCTACGTTAAATCTATACTTCATATTATATATATATGTATGTTACACTTACACACACATATATATATATATACGTATTATTCATAATATGTCCATGTATATAGATATATATATATTTACAGGAAACTGCTTTACAAAATAAGAAAAGCCACAGCACCTACCTGGTTACCAACTCTTGTGCTCTGCAGGATGAGTGAAGAACTCGAAGAGCCTGCCTGGCTTCAAGCCCTGCGACTCTTGGAAGCAGCTGCCACACCGAGAAAGCCATCGACGCCGTCAGCGAGCAGATCGGCGGTGGGATATTTCCCGGCACCAGAGCCATTGGAAGAGTTTTCCCAGCAACTTGAGCCGGAAGAACAGCTGAAAACATATTTGGACCAGTTCAAAGAAGAAGAACCTGCTTGGGCCAAAGCTATCCGGATTTTGGAGAAAGTCCCTGTGGGCCGTGAAATCAGGGTCACGCAAACGGCTTCGGCAGCATCTGGGAACCCAAGTGGAGCGGCAACACCACAAGGGATGCTGCGCACACCTGCTGGCCAACCTGGGCACGATCGGGGAAGGGAGGTTCGGATGAAATCCTACCAGGCGATGTTGCACGAGCACGCCTTGCGGCATGCGCAAACCGAGAGGTTGGATGTGCGGTTGCAGCCCAGCGAGGAGAAGTCGGAGCTCAAGCAGGGGAAACTATCCGGCCAAAGTCAGAGCTCACAGGCGGGAAGAAGTTGAATTGAATGAAACCTGCTGTGCAGAAATCTGGTCGTTTAGACTAACAGAATCTTACAGAGTTTGGGGAGTTTTGATCAACATAGAAACTGATCGTTTCACAGTTTCACTCCCGAGTCAAAAGCATTGCTAATTGCTCCATATATGTGTTTATTGAGTAATGAGTCAGGAGTTTGTGTTCATAATACGGGAGTTAGCCATCCAGTGCTCAAATGACTGACGTTTGTTGAACACCTTTGGCCTACAATATAGCTCCCCCTGACCTAACATGCACCCATGTTTCACCAGCCAGTGCTGCTAAGAATTGCCAGCAATTCCGTGCCGCTGGACAGGTCTCGCATTCCGACAGATGGGCAGATGCTCCGGTTCAGGACGACAAGAATTCCACCATACACAGCATCCAGACGGAAGGACAAGGCTCTACTACCGAAGAGCTGGCCAGAATCCGTGAGCAGTTCGGGCTCAACAAGCCCAAAAAACAAAGCTTCACTCCGAAGGAAGATGAGGCCCGGCTGCGCGTGAGACAAAGTTTTTTTATTGCACTGTTTTTCCAACTGGGACAAACGCATGTACTGTGCTGGGGAGCAGTTATGGGTGCTTCTGGCGTTCAGGGTAAAAGGTCCTGAATCAAACGCTCTACCTCCTAAAGTGCGAAACAACCCTGCGGTTCATTCCCAACCACTGGAGTGATTTTTCCCCAAACAGTTTACTGTTAGGGGTTCTCAATTCTTTCTTAAGATGTGTCCGCCCTTTGTGTCACTGCTGGTGTCCGCCCTTTTCCGTTGGCCATGTAGCATTTCTATTCACACTGCCAGGTACCCAAATCACCAGAGCCGCTGCCCAAACCACCCTCTCCACCGACCGCGCCCTCGACCGCGAGCGATGTGGGCATCGGCCGGGGGCACCTGGTGGCCTCCCTGCCGAGCGACGGCGAGCTGGAGTCGGAGGCGGAGCTCCGAAAGGAGGACCTGGGCAGCCGAAGGGGAGAAGATGAGAGTCTCGAGGACATTGGAAAAACATGAGTTTTGAGGCTTCGGCCGATCTCCACCGAGCATCTCCTCGTTCGTTCGGTTGTCCGACGGTCGGACAGCAGATTGCCTCAGGACCTTGTGTGGTCGGAGCACGAATTCAACGACGGGGACAAGGAGAACCGTCGGGTCTTGAAGAAGTTCACGAAGGAGTCACTCAGTTCTATAAGCCACTGACCGTCTACACTTCCTGGGGAAAAAATGGGAAAACCACCCGTTTGGTATTTGGAGTATTTGGGATTTCATGATCCTCCTTTCACAGCCAATGCCTTTTCCAATTCCATGGAATCTACTATATACGTAGGCCTGTTCTTGGTTTTGGGTTTTGTTACCCTCAGCCATTGTTTGAGTTTGGCCTGTGAGGTTTAAGAAGATGGCGGAAGAAACGCCTGAGGGCATCAGGAAACTTGGTTGCACCCTTGAGTGAGCATTCACATGGCCCTAGGGCTAGCCTTCTATAGTGCCTTCTATAGATGCTAGTTGCAAGCTGGGTTCCATGATGTTCGATGTTAGTTTGCCACAGAGGAGCCCGGCCTTTGTTACAAGAAGAATCCCTGCATCATTTGGGTGAAAGGTGGTAGAAGTGTACTGAAACTATGGCAAATTGTGGGAGAAAAGACAAATTCGGCTGGTGCAGGAGTTGGTACAATCGTATGTTTGAAAGATTGGCTACTGGCAACAACATGGGGTATCCCACTCATACTTACACGATTCATAAGCCTCCCAAGAAGCACAGAGCTCAGAGAAGAAAGCTTCCAGGTAATTTGATCCAGAACCTTCTGAGTATCATGAAAGCATAGTCTTCCTGTCCTTTCCCTTCCAAAAAAATGGCAGACACAAAAGAGAGGATGTCTTTCAAGCTGTGGGGCCCGGCCCGTGGCCCGAGAAGAAGGTCATCGAGTCATCGAGTCATCGGTCGCTTTGGCAGACGAGTTCGTCAAGAAAGGTAGAAGGAAATTCCATCCGACTTTCAGGCTCTATCAAAAAAAAACACCTCGAGCCTCGAACCAACCAAGAAACGTCAAGCCGTTCAGAACCGATCGTGCAATCGGAAGTGAGATCCGAGTCGCCTTGAGGAATCCGAAGCTTCTGACTGCAGCTTTGGACTTAGCCTTGGCATGTGTGAAGTGCTACGAACTCGACAAGGCCGACGCCATCTACCGTCGAGTGCTGGGCGAATGCCGCCGGCGTGGCATGCCGTGGGATGTGATGCTTGATTTCAAGCATGGACCAGGGGCTGAAACGGCGGTCTAGACCGGTTTGGGTGAAAAATGTGAAAAGAATCCACACATCTTCTGAACGAATAGGAAATTGGGCGGCCTCACAACGAACAGTCCCTCCAGTGGGTTTCCTTACTCTGCCATTACCAATATATTCTTCTTCACTTCTGCCAAATTAGGCTGAAGTTTTCACCACTAGTAGTCACTAGCCTCTTTGCTTGGATGCTCCAAAACCATCCAACCCCCCTTTTTTGCCACCAGCGCTGGACTGGGCCGGACTGGGCCGAGGAAGTGCTTGCAGGACTTGGCCACGCTCCGCTGCAAGCAGCACCGCCAGGCCGATGCCGCAGAGCTGCTGGAGGAGTTGGCCCAGAAGGCGGCGCGCGAAAGACGCCGGAAGAGCGGGAAAATTGAACAAGGACATACAAGGACCAAGGACAGTAGAGGATAGTGTATATAGGTGTGCAGGATGAGGATCAATGAACTTGTACATATATAATATATATATATAACAATATATGTTTTTGTTGTGCGATGTTTTGCCTTTGGTAGAATTACTTTAGGTATAGGAGGTGGAATCATGGGCATTGAGGACCTATTTGCAGGCTGGCACTTGAGTTGTTCAAACCTAAAGGTTTCACTTGGTGACTCGTTTTTTCGTCGGGTGCTGGTGACGGGAGGGGTTCTACAAAACGTGGTGTTTGCCTGACTCGGTCAACATGAGAGCAAACGAACCATCTACCACTTCAAAGAGACCCACAAGCTGAACGACGCCTCCAACCTAATAGCGATGGCCTCCACCTAATAGCGTCCTAGCTACTATAGTAGCTTCTTGTTACTAGTAGCGATGCCAGGAGCTACTAGTAGCGTCGTTGCTCCTAGTAGCGATGCTCTTTGTTCCTAGTAGCTTCTTGTTGCTGCCACTTCAAAGAGACCTGGAAGCTGAACGACGCCGCCTAATAGCGTCCTAGCTACTAGTAGCTTCTTGTTACTAGTAGCGATGCCACGAGCTACTAGTAGCGTCCTTGCTCCTAGTAGCGATGCCCTTTGTTCCTAGTAGCTTCTTGTTATTACCACTTCAAAGTGAACGACGCTTGGTATTCTTCATGTTCGGATTGCTTTGATGGCTGCGCCAAAGAATCAATGCCACTTTTGGATGGCAAAAGCAAATCTCGAAGACCAGCTCCCGAAGAAATCCCTGGGTAGAGTTCCTGCAATTTCCTGGCGGGAGTACTTGTAATGACCAACCAAAACCTCCAGGAAAGCCAGCTCCACATGGTCAGGGATAGCTGCGCTGGACGAAGTGAAGCCATGGGTGCTAAGCCCAAATCTGACCACGGCGCAAGCGGCCAAGTCAAGCCACAGTCAAGGCCAAATCAACCACCTCATTTAAGGTCCAATGCTGGGATGGCAAACTTTGTCATTCATGTGATGAAGCAATATCAAATAGATTGTCGATCTCTTTGCACCCTTACATTAGTTAAACCATGTTAACCGAATGAGTCTATCCGAATATGTCTAAGCTGGCATAAGGATGTTACGAGGGATCTTCCTCATGCCCTTTGGCCCTGTTTCCTGACATTGATCACTACCGCTTCGCAGCTTTGTCAAGCATCAAGTGAATCCTAAGCCCAAACATCCCTGTGAAATCATGAATACCTTTGGCCCTTGGCTAAAATGACCTAGCAAAGCCACGGTGTTTACCATGCTTTTCCACCTGACATTCATCTCAAACACGTCCCAGTGCCCCACGCGTCGCAGTCTGACAGGCGCCGCCCCACCCGGCGACCTTTATCAATCTCGGCACGGCCGCTCGGAGCGCCGTCCGGTCCGGCGGGGTGCGCGTCGTCCGTCCGGCCACGGTAGTCCATGGGGTCGTCCATTGGTTGGAAAGGATCGGTCCGTGAATGGAGAAGTCGAGCCCTATACCGTGCCAATCTCTGAAAAAATGCCATGACTTCAGGTCCCATTTGCACCAGATTTGGGCGCCGGAGTTGGGATGGGCCCGTGGCATTTCAGACCCCCCAACCATACAAAACGACCAGGGCCACGCACACAATATGATGTCCGCCGCCGTTTTGCTTGGAATCATGCTGGGTTTCACCTTGACCAGTCTCCCCCAGTGTTTCATACAGTTTGTTTGATTTTTTGCTGACCCTGTCCCCCTCATGTTCCTGCAAAAAAAACACCAATGACCAATGGCCATGTGCATATAGATTATAGACCGGTGTTTGCTCACCCGTAGGCATACAATTCGTGAAACTTGATGTCCCCTGCTACGGATTCACATCCTGGAACCCGCTGGTGGAACCGGTGAGGAGAAACAAGGCGAAAATGTGTGACACAATGTGTGTTTTCAATGTTGAAACATCATGAATGTATCCTTATCTTAAATTCCCCTGCTCAAAGAACTCGTAGACACCTGTCCGACCTGTCCCCCTTTGCTCCAAGCATCACGAAACAAAACATTCCACCCCCAATCCCTTTGTAGAGTTTGACCACGTGATTACAGGAGTCTTGCTGCAATGTACACGATTGAACCCTTGATGTGTGCAGACCTGAACCCATCACAATGGAAACGTGCTATCCATATGTGCGGTTTCTGCAATACACAAATGAACCACAGCTTGCTGTTGCACTTTTTTCCCACAAGTCATAGCATACGTATACTTGGGACACATGATTGACAAGATCGAGTGTGTTAAGCATAGTTTTTGTGGCAAACGCACGATGTCGGTTGGACGTCGTCCCAGACGACGAGCTCGGGACGTGCAAGGTTTACAACCAGCTCCGTCAATATGACAAAGCCGAATCCTGGTTTCACCAAGCCGTGAACCTCAAAGGAGGAACACCTGAGCGTGAAGATATTTGGAATTTGGCCATTTGCAAGAAGAACATGGGCCAATATGAGGAGGCCGGGTGATTTGGGGTAACTCTGAAAGCAATAAAAATTGATAAAATCTCGTTTAAAAATCTTGAAGCATCACATATCATCACAACATCTATTTCAATTTTTCTTAACGACACCGGGTGCATCCTCCCCATTGATGTTGCATGTTTTTAGTATGTTCGAGCATTTTGATCGGGTTTGTGTTGCATTTACCTGCTTCGATTTGGAGGCGTTGCCCATGTTCGAAGAAGTGCTGAGAGAGTTCCAAGTCCATGAGCCTCACCATCCAGTGACTATCGCAAAAGTGCACAGCCTCTTGGTGAAGGAGTCGATGCAGGAGGCTCTAACGGGGGGGTGTTGAGACAAGGAGCTTTCTAGTTGTGTTTGGTGTGTTTTCCTTAGGACAATGATAACATATGATACCTGTCCGGAGATTTGTGCAGTGTGCAGAGGGAAGTGGGAAGTTACTTAAATGAAACAATGTCAGGACTGCCCATGAGCAGGAGCAGAGGGAAGGATTGTTGGCTCCCCTCCCTTGACATGATGTTCACTTGAAAGAGGTGAAGGTTGATGAAATCGGATGCGTTTAAGTTCAGAGAGCCACTTGGTCCATTATTGATTTACTGATCCCCTACACACTGACATCAGCAGATCATTTTCCAAGGTTCCTTGGGCGGTTGTCTCCACGAGATGGGCCGTTACACTGCGGCGGCCGAGCAGTTTGACGAGGCCTATTCGTTGTATGCCAGCACAGTGGGGCGCCACTCGCCCCTCTTTGGCGGTGCGGCGGAGGGGAAGGCTAAAGCCTTGCAGAAGGCGGAGCGCTATGAGGAGGCCTTTGAGGCTACGGATGATTCGACGTTCTTTTCCGGTGGTTTTGGCATGCTTTAGAGGCTTTTGGGCATGGGAGAAGCGGGCAGAATGAAGGTAAGATCGAGGGGTGTTGTTCTGGCCCAATCAGATGTATCGACGATCAATGTCTTGCTCTTAAAGGTGACCCCTGAGGGTGTCTAAACAACCGTATACAATGAACCAGAATCTTCAATGTCTCACATGGCTTGCACGGCTTCATCAGTCGCTTCGACCAGGCGCTTTTGGAGGCCTTTGAGGTTCATTCGCGTTGTGACTCTGTGCATCCTACGCCGCTCTTCGATGCTTGGATCTGAAGTTGGTTGTGATGACCACATTATGACCCCCCCAAAAAAAATAATATGGAGAAGTTGGTACTCTTGAGACAGGATTTGGTATGATAAGTACTGGAAGAATTTGGGCCTAGTAGTAAAGAGGGCCACCTCTGGGTGAAGAAGTGCTTCCTGTACGACCCAGTGAGGGATGTCTCCAGCCTGTGGTTGCTCCTTATTTGCGCGCTTCGGAGTCCTCGCGGGACTGGACGTCCGACGTCCGTCCGGGCGGTCCGGACGGCCCCGAGACCCCAAGAGGCGAAAAGACCGGGAAGTATCTAAGAAGTCGCCAGGGGGCTGCTTGTTTCGTGCCAGCAAGGGGTGAATCTATAGGAATCTATGCTCCGAGCAGATGATGTAGGTCATCAGGGTGGATGCCCATTTTCATTGACATGCGAGGAATGCCTGGAAATGGCCTTGACCCTCCATGAGCAGCGCCCAAGCTTGGAGCTGCTGCGCTTTCAGCCTGCGATCGAGGATGGCATGGCCAACTTGGAGCAAAGAGGGCAACATCAGGAGAGGCCGCCACCCCTCGCAGATCATATTACCAAGTCACTCAACTGATCCAGGTTTTGATGTATAGTCTAGTTATATATACAAGTTTCCAAGTTTTGATGTGTAGTCTATATTACAGTTCTAGTTAATTATAGAATTTACAGTATATTCAGTATACACAGTATAATGCATGCATATTATAATGCATTGTACGAGGCAACAGCTGGATCCAGAGACAAAAGGTAAACCAAGAAGCCATTGCATTCACTGGAATATCCCAGGTTTCAGTATGGATCCATCAATTACACGTCAGAAGTTAATTTGAAGAGACACACGCAGAGCACCTGCATTGAGACCACTACTACCTATCATTGAACAACACGTTATCCAAGTTATAAAGATCGGGAGACAAATGTCCCCCCCTGACATGCCAGAGCAAATTGTCAAGAACCGAAGTCCCATGCCAAGGGTTCAGTGAGGTGTGCGGTGTGCGATGAACATACAGTACTGCATATTTCAACCTTGAAGCTGAAATTGTAGATGAGTTTTGCGGAAAGAGATAAAACGCCGATTCGATGCAATCGGCCTCCGACTCTCCCACAGTCGCCAGGACGGCAATGCAGGACTGGTGATGAGCCGTGCAGGGAAGCTGCTGTCCAAGACCTCTGCTCGAGGGGCAGCCGAGCGTTTGCTGCGTGAGGGGCGAGCCTTGATTCAGCCACTTCCGATATATTAAGAACCACAGGTGTTGGTGTAAAACTAGGGGCCGTTTAGCTCCCAGACCTGCATGTTTTCAGCATGCACGTGAGCTACCCCTGCATCTCCTGTGTACCGCACACCTTTTCAAGGCAAGCGCACGATGCGAAGGAGGCGAACTTGGCGCATGAAATTCTAGAGGTGCCGAGCTTCCTTGGGCGACCAATCGTGGCGGGATGTGGCGGGAGATGGAATGCGTCGAGCTTCCCAGATGCTGCTGTACATAGTAGAACCTGCATGGTAGTTTGAATGAAACATAATGAAACCATAAGTATAAAAGGCAATATGAACCCTACATCGAGCATGTGGGTGTTGTGTCCCCAAAATATCGATTGATGGTCCAATGGAAACGATGGGTTTTTCATTGTTGTGTTTCATGGCAGCTTCGGGTGGTTTTCGGGTCAGCTTCCGCAAGGTGAGACGACTCGACACATCCTCATGGAACCAACGCAAGGTGAGCCGCAGATCGTTGATCCAGGACCAAAAGCGAAAGGTGGAACGGCATTCAATTGGTTCACTTGGGATTTAGGTCAGAGTAGAGTTGTCACACTTAGTGTCACCAGAGAGGTTGTAGCCATACCCTTCCCCTTCTCGTATCATTCTTAGACCCGGAAGAAAACAGCATAGGCATAGACCCACACCCAGTGCTTTTAGGATTCAAGGACCGACGGAGTAGATGCTATCGGATTATGTTCGGAGCTGCTGGACACGGAGGTTAACATTAGTTAACATTTACAAAGGGAGACGTCTTGGGACAAGTCGTCCAACGCCATTCTGGCAACATCTAGCTACGGCATCAAGTTCTGCTGTTAGACTTTAAAGCTTTAGGTCCCTGTCAGTACCCCTGCGGGTTCCCAAGCCTTCCAATCCAAGGAAGACCACTTGTTTTGTTTTGACAAGCCTTAGATCCTGACCTTCATCGTTCATGTTCTCTGGGGTCAACTCACCCAACCCAACCTAACCATTTAACTCGAAAAGGCCCCAACCTATACAGCAGCCCAGTAGAGTTTTGCTTGGAAGCCCTCTGCCGTCTCTCCGCATATCTCTTCAGGTGGATTTGCTGCTGCACGGACTGCAGGAGCCGCTGAAGAGTGACCTTGGCCCCAAGACCTCCGCCAACATCTCTGCGTCGGCGTGACGATGGAGATCTTGCGAAGACGGTGGCGCGCGGAGGAGCAAAAGGTGCGACCATCACCGGCTTTGGCCCAGAGACGTTTGAGCCTTTGGAAGGGAAAGGATCTGCTGAAAAGAGACCAAAGAATGCTGACCTTTGTCGCAGCCTGGATAATTCTGGAAGCAATTTGCAAAGCATTGTATGCATTTGTCAATGTGAGCAAACAGGATTCCCTGTTGGTTGCCTGCCTAGGGGGGAAACGAAGCACCGTAGAAATGGCCTGCGTTCTTTGCTCCCGGAAACCAAGCATCTGGCTTTTGGCAAGGACGTGAAATAAGGAGGACCGTATGGACTTATGGCTGTTCACACGTGTTCACAGCAAATGATCATTTGTTGGTCGAGCTGGTTCTATCAGATCCATAGGCACCTGCTGACACTCAAGACTTGAAGAAGTGGCCAATCATCACCACTTGTGGACAGAACCTTCCCTAGGGATCCAAGTCAAGTACCTTCTCAGAAGGTGATTGGAGACACTGTTATGTAGGTTTGGAGGGTCCAAGTACCTTCTGAGAAGGTACTTGGATCCCTAGGGCTTCATTGGTGTGGGTCTTTGTCACGTTTGAAAGACACCACATGTGCCTTTTTTTGATCCTTTTGGGGTCAGCACTAAACCATGTCTTGAAGGGATGAACCTCCGCTCACCAGCACTGCCGCACCACCTTCGCTATAGACATTCTTGCCCTCAGGAGGTGGAGCCAGAGCGTGAAAAGCCAGAGGCGCCAGATGCGCCGGCGGGGGGGGGCAATCAGATGGAATAAGGGTTCGCTCGGCGACGCCCAAGAAAGGTGAACCCGTGATGGTAGCCGTTCACCCAGAGCCAGGAACCAACTGGGCTGGCTGTAGAGATTTGTGGGCTTAAGGCCAACCCCACATGTTTCAACCCTGTCAGAGGGTTCTGAAGGGTTCTGAAGGGTTCAGGAGAAGTTGGCCCCAATTGTGCAGGATCCTTGGCAGTGGTGAAATACATGCCATGGTATAGGAACGGGGTGGTGACCTTGAAATGGTGAGGTGACCGCGTTCCTTACCTTAACATCACGAGGTCCAGACAAATCCTCCGAGAGGAAAAGGACACGTGACCATGATTGAATACGGAAACGTCAATGGGTCCGCAAACAGGATAAAGATTTAGATTGAGCTGCCAGAGAGAGGCCTCCTCTTTTCAGATTCCCATAGTGACATAGTGTTTCATACCTAGATCTTCGTATGAGGCACTTTTCCAAAAAAGTTGCCTTTTACCGTACGGCGGCGTAAATTGTAAAGCTGCGGCGTTTCTTGATTTTGCGGCGGCGTTTAATTTTTCGTAATTGGCTCGAAGCTGTATAGTTGGGTGATTTGTGCCCTTCGTTAGGTATAGTTGGGTATAGTCGCGTCAAACCCCGAAGGTTGATGAACGCACCCCAAATGTGTGAACTTCTTGTCAACATACCGACCGGTAACCTTTGGGAAGATGCGGAATTGGCGCAGTGCTTGAACTATGTTTTAGCTTCGAAACGGCTAGTCGTTCCGGAAGAGTACCAAGCTCCCTGAAAGAGATTGATAAGCATTCAACACAAAAATTGAAATTATGTTCTTGAGTTTCATACGTGTTGCGAGAAATTTGCGAAATTTGCCGGAAAAAATGGCGGCGTAAATCCGCGTATTGGCGGCGTAAATCCACGTAATGGCGGCGTAAATCCGCGTAATGGCCTCGTAAATTCCCGTCATCATGTTGGCAGCATTTGTCACCCATGGACCACTGAGATTGCTTGGCTTATCAGGGTGTAGCATACACATGAGCACAAAGACTCTTGTTAGGAGGTGGTCAATTGTCAGAGCTTGCACAATGACCTTGGAGAATGACCCTGAGTACCAGAAGTTGGGTATAGTTGGTAAATTTGGCAATGGGAATCGTAGAGCGGTCAGGGATTTGGGGTTGCGATGACGTTATCGTGGAGGTGAGTGTGAGGGTTTGGTCTCTACCTCGTGTTACTTGGGGGAGCTAACTGAGTATCCTTGAGCCTGGCGTGGAGGAGACATGCACCATCCTTCCCCATATATGGAATGTGGCGTTTTGTTTTTCTGGTGGCGTTTTTTTTTGGACGACGGCAATTTTCCACTCTGGTGGCAAATTTTTTGGCCACCATGGAAAGCGGCACTTTTTTCGTCCACCAGGTGGATCTAGGTATATGTTTCATCAATTTCATTTGTACCACTGAACAGACGCCTTGGCAGACTTGTGAACCGCGTCGTCGTTTCTTGTACCTGATAAGTACCACTCCGCCCTGCTTTATATACAACTGACGTTTTATAGATTGAAACCTTGTTTCCATTCCAGACGAAGATTACAATCTCACGATCTCCATAGTGAATATTTCCGACTTGGTGCCGCCATTTTGGAATAATCAATTGTTTCGCGCTGGTTCACGTTTTTCCTTGTTGTGGTCGGCTGAGATCCCACTTCAATGATTCAGGTTCGGCTGTTCAAAAAGACCTATTTGGGGTCCCAAAGCACCTTTCTCACAGTGCGGCCAAATGTATATGATCACCTCACTCTTTTCAAACACCTAGTTCTTGACGACTTTTGGTTTGCTTATTTTCCCTCTTCGCCCTCATTTGTTTTGCAGGTCGAGGAAGGAGTTGAGGCAACGGCAGTGGCAACCCCGCCAACGCTTCCCATGCAGGCACTGTAGGAGGGAGGCACTGCACCCTTCAGCACTGATGAACTGTGAGAAGGAGCCCCATTGGGCCCCAAGGGCAAATCTGGGTTCAACGCATTGGCATGTTTCAGTTGTTTTCTCGGGTGGAGTTGTGGATGATGGATGATGATGGGACTTCCATCAAAGCAGGGGATCCTATAAATGCGAGTCAGAAAAACCATGCTTGGACAGAAGACGCCCGTCCTTTATAGTTATTTGAAATATTTAACTATAACTGGCGCCCCGATAACCATAAACAGAGGTGTCCTTTCTGATACGACTGAGCCGATTGCCCCTAACTTACCCATGTGCATCGCCGCATCGAAGTGATTGATTTCGTGGTTTTTCAGTACCGCGGACCGTCGAGTGCCATTTTGAGGGAGACTCAGTTTGTGTCCAACAGGACTATATATTTATCCTCTCATCCTGACCACCACTGTAGGGAAGTCGCCAACAGAAGTCTGGGGCCCGAAATTCGCATGATGCATCAGCTTTGCTCTGGAGAGTTCTTCTGGCCCGCAGCCAATGACGTAGCCGCCTGTCTGACACGAATCTCGAGCTGGAAGTAATTAGACAACTCCGTCGTTCATGGCTGCCACTTGGCAGCCATGGTTGGGCCAGGATAAGAACATGCTTGCAGGCTGAAACTTGAAGCGTTTTCAAGAAGCGCTCTTACGTCCCGGCTTCAGCATTGCCCCCAGTGGTAAGCTTGTACCAGACGACACACAGGCCGTCCCGACCTAGCCTGTCCTCCGCACCACAGTGGCCAGAAGCCCATGCCAAGCATTTGTAAAAACTGGCCGACCCGAGCCGATCGCCCGTTTCTCCGACAGCCGGCCTGCTCCAAGGAGCTCAAAAGTCTTCCCAATGTCTTTTCCATCAAAGATGGATGCCTCTTTGCAGTGGTCTCGACAAAAACCTGCCCAGGATGCAGCCGATGAGTGGCCCATGTTCTGGGTGAGCACCACTTACATAGGTGGTTTGTTCGGTGTGCCGAAGACAAACTCAACCTGCTGCCACCGACCGAATAAGGTTCTCGGCACGCTCATTCGGCAATCATACATCATGGTAGAAAGTCATGGATAGTCTACCATGGTCCAAATGCGAAAACACGGCGGTTTTGCTATGAGTCAGCGGTTTAGCATGGCTTAGCCAAAAAGGCAGCAAGATGCAGCAAGAGGCCGGATATATTTGGCAGGAAAGCTGATACCGTATTTGACCGCAGCGAGCGCATGGCAGCGCTCATTTCAGACATCGGCGAAGTTAGACATTGAGGCAAGTGTGCCAAGGAGCTTTTGACGCGAACGTGCAGTATGTGCACGTGCCCCCCCACGCACGTGCGGACCGTCACGGATGATCCAAAAACAGACCGACGTGGCGAACGGTCGGACGGTGGAGACTGGTCCCCAGAGGTCACCAGAGGTTTGATCGCTTTAAAGGTGAACTCCGCATTTCACCGAAGACCTGCACGTGGTGAGAAACATGTGCCATGGTGTTTGTTGTTTTCCTGGGCTGAAACTGCACCAGGTTCATGAACGAACAGGCAGAAGAGATTGTCATAGATCAATGGATCTAGCATGTTTGGAGTTTCTAGTACTGCGTCACCCATATCGCATAACAATTCAAAAGATACGTTCGACCATGATGATGTGTTGGTGTTTAAATACTAGATAATAGTACCTAGATAATTAGATATATGTATTTGATCGCAAATCGTGGACGCATGATGATACGCAGACATATGACATCATCTGACAGAAACACATACCTATAGTATAAATATATCATCAGATTCTCAGAGGAACAAGAAGCTACTAGTAACAAGTGCATCGCTTCTAGTAACAAGTGCCTTACTAGTAGTAACAATGTTTGCTAGTAGTAACAAGTGCCACGCTAGTAGTAACAGGTGCCTTACTAGTAGAAACAAGAAGCTATTGGTAACAAGTGCCACGCTAGGTATTGCCTCCTCTTTCAGGTGTCGTGACGTCGCGACGTCGCGAGGCAGCTCCTGCCGCATCGCCGGCGGCCGCGTCGGCGCCCCCACGGCATCCACCGTCGGTTCCATCCGAAGCGGCGCCGGCAGCAGAGGCGGTGTTCGAGGTGCCATTCGGAATGGTGGAGAACGCAAGGGAACTCACGAACCTTCCCCAACGGTCACCTTTGACCACGTAAGAAACGATAGTCAAGTCTTTGCATTTGTGGTTTTGGAAGGTGCCTTTAGGGTCACCTGATGAGATGCCAAATACGGTGTGCATGTCTACTAGTAGAACTGGTTGACCATTCAAATCATTTTCCGATTTTTAATCAATGTCTCTTGTGCTTTTAGTAGGCATGCAAGAGATCCGATCAAATCACATGGGTGCACTAGGTGCGGTGATTTGACAGGTGATTCCATTAAAGTGGATTTGATTGTGCTTGCTCATTTATTGGGGTTCAATGGATTAAAGAGCAGAAGCTCGGACCAGCGGTCTAGTCACATCGCGCTAGTGAAGAACCTGACAGGTGCCGCACCCGGTGCTGTCACCGGTGCACGCAGGGGCGCACGCCCTGCGTGTGCCCAGAATGACCATGGAGATGGCCCCAATTGAAACGGCTGAGCCTCCAGTAGCTTAGCCAAGAGTGGGAGGGGGGTCTCAGCCACTTGCTTGTGCACGTTTGGGCAAGTCAATTGTCGGATCAACAAATACCTGCCTAGTGTGTGTTTGGGATCAGGCAAAGTGGGCAGGGGCAAATTCTCAAAAGTGGGTATGCCTGAAAGAAAGGAAGCGATACGAGATGGTAGTATTTGTTGCCAAATGCTCAAGGCAAACTACAAGATAAATTAAAAAAGAAACAACCGACGGTAATTAACCGACGCAACCTTCTTCGAATGTTCATACATGAGAGACAGATCGATGTGTTCAAAATATGGGTGTTTGGGAACCTTCTGTCCACTCGCCCCAAAGGACAACAGCAGCTTGAGCACATGGAATTGGAGAAGTGTTGTGCGCAATTTGGAAGGAGCTGATGACCTATTCCATGGGAATAGAGATCAACACCAAGAACCTGTCAGTGAATTTGGGGTCCCAGGTAGCCCTACCTTTCGAAGGGGGGGAGCAACACACCCCATGTGCCAAAGATTCCCAGGGCTCGAAGTGGTGGTTGTGAAGTATTATCTAGACAGGAAAACCAAAGGTCAACTTCACAACCACCACTTCTTGTTCTTCACGACATGCCGCCCAAGTCTGACTTGTTCGCAAAAGCACAGGTTGTTGGTGTGTTTCCTTTCTCCGAGTTCCGGTCGGTCCTGGCTCGGTCCTGGTCTGGACATGCGGTCCTGGCGCAGCTGTGAGGCTTGGTATACAGTGACCGCACCTGTTGCATTTGGTTCGGTAGACAGAAACTGGCACCCCAAAACGAAGCAAGTTGACAGCTCTCTCAAGAATCGTGATTGATTCATACATGGTTTTGGGACTTCTGGATACTTTTGGGATAAAGTTTCTGACATATTCTCAGTTGGAATAAGAATCCCCTTGTTCACGCGCTGGCGGATCAAAAAAGCATCAAAAAACAAGCAGATGGGGCGGTTGACTAGTTCAATCAATTGCACGTGTTTGACAAATATAGAGCCTAGGAGGGATTAGATTCCTCTTCTATAGATCCATGGGTTTCCATCACGTCCGCATTGACGCCCTGGCATGTCCCATCTCTCGCAGGAAATCATACTGACCATACATGCCACACCGGCTGTTTTTTGCCAAAACCTGAGGCTCCGCCAAGGCTCCCTGGGGGCTGCTCAAAAAGAGTGCGCGCGCGCGCGTGCGCGTGCATTCGCGTCAAGGTCATCCTAACGTGTTTGACATCTCTTTAATGATGGTGACAGGGGGGGCCAGTGAAGCTCGCGTTCTTCTGAAAACAACATAAAGGCAGAGCAACAACGCACAGTATGGATATGTATGGATATTGTCCGGGAGGGAAGACAGTGTGTTAGGGAGTGCAGAAAAAAAGTTGGCCAGAGGTTCTGGACCACAAGGTGGGCCGGTCACAGGCAGAAGCAAACTAGCTGCACTTCCTGTTGTTTTAGTTCTTCAGTTGGACACCGAATTCTGTAAAGAAAATGGACTTGGTTTTGGCGCTGGTGTGCTTGCTAGTGCTGTAGACAGTTAGAGGTTTCCTCTCGGTGACCTTCAAAAAGATGTGCTGGTATAGTGTATATGTATATATATAGCATTAAATAGCATATAACATATGCATATGCTTGTATTTTTGGGCGGCGTTCCACTGCCTTACCTGGCCGTGGCGATTTTTCACCCAGGACCCCGCTTCACGCTATATATGCTTGTAACTATGTGTCTCGTTTGAGTTCATCACGACCACATCTTCGGGACCCGTGTTTGACCACTGGGACCCTTGTTGGCGTTTTGGATAAGGGCCTTAAGGGCGTTTTTGAGGCTTGGTTAAGGGACTCAGATCCGAGACCCAGACTCTCCAAGATAGTCTGCTTGGAAGCTGATCATATTATTATCAGGGATATTTGTTGGTATATTTTTTGGTGCGGAACGTGCCTGCTATGATCTGTGGTTTTATCATATTTTATCCAAAGAGTTGCAAATGACTCATCATTGACCAATCACCACTTGACTTGACTCCTTAAAAACTAAAGCGGACCCCCATGGATGCTTTGTTCGTAAAGGTCGTCAGTGACAACGGGTGGCAAGTTCGGTCGTTGCGACGAGCTGTGCTTGATGGGCCCTCGGCAAGGCCCATCATGCCGGGCCAAGTGCAAACCTTCCGCATTTCCGTGTTTGCTGGCAGACATAAGCAGTCTGGGGGTCGGAGTGGGGGGAGAATGTGTAGGTGATTGCTGAGCCAGGAAGGGAGCAAAGAATCAATCAAAAAGTTGCCTTTCCTGTTCGCTTGCTTTGTGTCTTTTTCTAAATCCTTGCTTCCTTTCAGTTTGATAGCCATCATCCAAACTTTTGGGATTTAGTAATTTAATACACTCATTGCAACAGTTCGCTTTCAGTAAAACTTGCGGGCCGGCACATGCCCTTATGTGCAAATGGGTGGAAACACCACTCTGTTCTGATTCAATCCACTAATGCAAGCTAATGAAGAAAATCCACTTCATATCCGCAGACAGTGCGCCAAACTCACCATGAGATGACCATAACATTAACCACTGTGTGCCCAAGGCTGTATGTTTTTGCGAGGCATCCCCTCCTGTTCGTCCCAACCACCCTGGGACCCTCAGACGTGGACGTGCTGGGTGGTGCAACCGTCGAAGGATTCGACGGGTGTTTGGCCACGTGTTTGCGGCCACGACTCCCCAAAGCGTCGTAAGAGCCACACCGTATTATGCCCTACTGGCTCGTTGGACTCCTGCTTGATCCCCCCGCAATCTATCGCAATCTCAGAATTGGTTTAGGAGCTACCGAAAACCCAATCCCCATAGTTTTCAAGGTGAACACGTGTGAAAACCATAGTATCCTGTTGATGCTATTGATTTCCCCTTCAACGAATCCATTGACCCAAGCCGCCTCAGGCTCCATTCCAAAAAACAAACCTGCACCGCCATCCGCCACTTCAGCCTTAGGCCTCCCCCTTTCCCGGGTGTCCAGTCCGATGCCCCCAGCTGGTGTCGGGATGGGCAACGTCGAAACCGACCGACCGCCAGGCACAGCCCGGTGTTGATGGGTTGAAGGGATTGACCTTTCAAGCGATTCACTGGAACAAGAAGGTCGAACATGGCCCAGATGTGTGATTGGTTTGCTAGGGATGTTGGGTTGAAGTTGTTTGCTCTCATATGCTCTCATCCCTTCTTTTTTTCCGGGCCGGGCTCGCCGAGTTTTTTTTTGAGGGCTTGCATGCCATGCTTTCGGAAGAAAGCAAGCATCAGCAAGCTTCGTCCCGTGGTTCGGACGCGCGTGGCTCGGTGGAGAACAAACACATGGGGGGACAGCTTTTGGGGGGACATGGGATGTGGGAAAATCGATGCTTAGCAGGTGAATTCTTCACCAGCTCAACTTAGCATATTCAATCGACAAGTCATCTTACACCACCTCGACACACCTGTAGGCTGCCTTTGGGGGCGCTCAGTATGGGCTGACTCGAGTGGTGTTCCCTTTTTTTCTCCATCCAAAAACGACTCGACCTGATGGACCCGACACCAACCGGATCCGCCCCGAGGATCCGAAAATCCACGAACATCGAGGACAAGCACGACCGATTTCTGCAGGTGCAGCGCCACAGCCAGCCGAGCGGCGGCCTCCACGTGATCGGACGGAGCGTCTGTTTTTAAGACAGGGGCCACATTCTCGGGACGGCCCTCAACTCTCAACCCTTGGGAAGATGAAAAAAATATATTTATACAAAGGCTTGCATGAGCAATGTAACAGTATGGAATTATATATATATATATATAGACTTATAGATTTAATTCACGTTCTTTGTCCGTCTCGTCTTTGTTATTTACAGGGAAACTTCAACTGAAACCAACCATTGGGCCCGATAGGGACACACTTGCGCCACCGGCCCTTGGGAAGTTGTGGGCTTGGCATTGGCAGGCATGAGTTGAGTTGCTGTTGCCTGTAGCCTCCTTGTTTGATGCATGTCCTCGCTTGGTTGAGACATACAGAATATATTATCAATGATATAGACAGAGAGATTTGCCGTTGCACTCCAGACAAAGGAGCCTATACTTCATCCGGCCAGGATGGGAAGGAAGTCAGAGGGAAAGTCGCCGCCCAAGTGGGGAGCAGGGCGGATCATAGAAAAAACTCGTGTTGACGTATTGAGAGTTTGGGGTTGAACAAAAATTGAGACTACCCGGGTGACTTGTGCGCCTTCATTCAGCGCTCTCCAGGACTAGGATCATTGTCATGCTCCCAGTCCTTTGGCAGTTGACTGGAGTAGCAGTCAATGTGTGGGTGAAAAGGTGCCTAGGAATACCATGGAATGCCACATGATGCAGGGACAATCCAGGTCCGTGTAGCAATCAGCAAGACGTGGATGTCTTGCGTTTGTCCTCGAAAAGAGTGGACCGACCGCGGACGACCCACCTGGCTGGCGCACCGACGACCGAGGTCGATGCCAGTGGACAATGGGTGAAGTTGAAGAGCAAGCACTACCTTCCCGTGAAGGCGGCGCTGCCGGGGCGGCCCCTTTTCCACGCCGGTGGCACCCCCTGTTGGATGATCCAATGAAGCAACGGAGACATGGTGTGTTGGGTTTTGCATGAGGGGCCTGAGACCGAGAGGAAGCCCAACGGTTCAGACCGTGTCATGTGTGAACAGTCAAGCCCACGACTCCATGTCTTGTGTTTGTGGGAGGGGATAGGGGTTTGAGACCCTCAGTTACACACCATGGTCGCACGTTTAAATGTTTGTGATTGAGCGCCACTTCGATGCATCCCTTGATCCCTGGCCCGCTAAGCTTGGCTCAGCCCCAAGCTTATAGTAGATATTTTGGCCGAGGGTCTATGACGCAGCTCCCCAAATGACCTCCGCATACGAAGAAACGAAGAAAAAACACAAAAACAAACAATCGCGACAACGACGCACATCTCCTCCCAAAGGTCGGCCCCAAAGGTTCAACTCCATCGCGCATCGCCGTGTCCGCCGTGGTCAAAACCGGCGGGCCAGCGTTGGTAAGCTCGTTCGGAACCCGGTCGCGCGCCGGTCCGCCATGTCCGCCACATTCCTGGAGAAGCTGGATGACTGCCAAAAGAATGAGCTGGTCGGGAGAGCTTTGAGGGCTCTTGACACAACCCAGTGGCTTGGAGTTCCAATCGGTTCCTTGCTTGCTTGCTTGCTTGGAGCATGTTCAGATGTAAGGCTGTGACTGGTTGATTTAGCCAGAAGCAAAATATTGAAGGTGCATAATGATGACAGCAATGTAGCTTCGATGCAAGTTGCATGCAAATATGTGAACAACCTTATAGGCGAGACCGCTCACCACTAAGCTTATCCATCACCACTTGTTCTATGTCTAGAACAACAAACGCATCATCTATAATGTATTGCACCGTACTGCATATAATATAGACTAGACGATTATAGATGCACTGTTGATCACACAGTGAAGATGGCCCGGGTTTGATCATACCAAGTGAATCACTGACTGACTCTCCAGTTCGCTCATCATCAGTAGCCACCCAGTCATAGTATTTGTTGGGAAGCTCTATTTGTCCTTGGGTCGGATCGATCCGTCCGCCTACACATACACACCCCAAATTAGACCGTAAATATTCATCCAATTCCATCCCATTTAATGGGCATCCTGACAATTTGTCAGTGATCCAAAAGCAATCCATTCGATCTTCATCCTATACCTCTTTGTTCGATACAAAACCAATATCACCCAACTTCACCGATCTGATAACCTCGTAGGTCCCACCTCTTTGGGAGAACCCAGGTGGGCGGCTCTCCTGGACGCTGCGGCCGGAGAGAAGTCCAATGAGCGGAACATCCACTTCCTCGACCTGGCAGGCCATGCCATCCAGCTTCCCGGTCGAGGAAGCCAACGGCGATCTTCTCTGGGAAGTAAGATGGAGAAAGGAGAAAGAAGAAGGCTGAACCAACTGCGATGTGCAGTCTTCCGACACAGCTATGATGGTTGGAAATGTTGTTGTTTCTATCGAAAGCCTGGACCACTGTGAAGCCTGGCACTTGCCCTGTGCTTCATCAGTCTGAAAAACCATGTAGGAAAGTGTGTTGCTTTGGGAGAAAAGCTTACTCACCTTGGGTATGGTCGCCAAAAGGAGGCGTAGTGTTCCTGGATTCTCGTTCCTTGGACCTTGACTGAGAACTAGTACATTTATAGTTATATATATATATGTATATGCTACACCCCCCAAAAAAAGATAACTACCTTTTAGACCATTTCACTAGTATTTGCAATGATTTGGTGAGATTTCAGGGCACAAATCGAACAGCGCATGTTTGACCGTATTGTGGTCTATGACTGGGTGTTAGTTAAATCATTGATTGGTTCTAACTGTTTTGTAGCACCGGCGCCTATGATGATTTTATTGTCCTTATGTTTCTCAGTAAAGTTTAAAACCTTATTATAGATATAAAGATTGGTCATATAGATGTCATCAAAGAAGATGTTGTCATTTTTAGTAAGAGCGGCTTCCCATAGTTCATTAACAATCTGGTCATAGTTCACCTTATGAATGAATGAAGGAGTTTTACAACAAAATGATTTTTACATATTTTTACTTCATTGTTTGCTTCCAACAGTTTTAGTAAAAAGACACATTTCATTATTAAGTTATACCTCTTATTGAGAAACATTGATGCCTTCACTTCCACCATACACAATGTTAAACTAGATAATTTGCTAATGTCAATGTCATCACTGTAATGTTTCCAACTGTCAAACTCATTAAAGACCGGTATGAATTTAGTATGTGTAAATGCCCATGTAAAGGCGTTAGTCCTGTCAATCTCTATTATTCAAAATTCTGCAGAAGTCTTAAGAAATCTTAAGATTTCCCTGGAACCAAGAAACCAAGAACCAAGATTGCGCAGAAGTCTTGGGGATAATCTTGGTTCTTGGTTCCAAGAAAACCTTCTCATCAGAACCAAGATTTTGCCCAAGACTTCTGTGCAATCTTGGTTATTGGTTTCTGGGTTCCAGGAAAATCTTCAGATTTCTTAAGATTTCTGCATATTTTTGAATAATGTTCTTGTTTGCTTATTGTTCTCAAATATAATCTTCACCTGAGATGCACGAAGCTGTGCAAAAATATGTATATATATATATATATGGTACTCCCCTTTCAATTGACTGATATATGATAATCCCCAAACATAAAATTGTCTAAAAGGTCTGTTGTTTTTCTCTTTTGTGGTGTATGTATACATATATATATATATTAGACAATTGCTGTTTGCCTTTCAGCATCAAGTACTGTATAGCTTCAAGCATGCCAGTTATTGCCGTGTCTGGCACTGCAGTGGCCGAGCTTCAGGAGGATGAGCGGTGTTTGCCATGGTGGACCGTGGAAGTTCACTTGGGGACCTGGTTCCTTGCAGATCAGGTTGGACATTCACGAGTTTGGCAAAGTCTCGTGAAGCCAAGAAATCGGCGGCCGCTGCAGGATGATAGGTGTTTGCGGCCGCTGTCAGGTGCACAGCTTGCAATCAAAATCTGTTGTGCTCCTGATGAGATCGCAGACAAAGAACTCTTTCATGCATGCGAGGAGTATACTGTGCGCAAGATTGAGCAGCTGCTCCGAAAACCACAGGATCCAAATGGTAGAGGTGCAGCAAATCAACACACCGATCTCGCACCATTTCACATGGCTGCTTATGAGGTGCCTTTGGAAGTTGTGCACTTGTTGCTGGAAGTTGGAGCTGACAAAGATACAGCAAGAGAAGATGGGGCGACGGCCCGCTATGCTTTTGCCAGCTCTCCCGGAGGACTCTGCCTAGCGAGCGGCTTTATGTGTCCTTAACCCGCGACAGGTCACGAAAGGTAGCCCTTTAGGGGATGCCTTGAGTTTGTCTTGCGAAGCAAGTGTTGAGACGTCCGGGTCTAATAATTGATCATTCAATTCAAACCCCCCCCCCCCCCCCCCTCCAATTGATTTTTCAATACAGACCCCCCCCCCCTAAATTCAATTCTCTCTTCAAGACACACCCCCCCCCCCTCTAAATTCAATTCTCTCCTGGAGAACGTCTTCGTGAGCCTCTCATGATTTCAGGATAGTTGAAACCCTCTTGAATATTCAGAAAGAATGCATAATCACGAAAGGTGTTCCCCGAGGGGATACATACCTAGAGTTTGTTTTGTGAAGCACGTCAATTCTCTCCTGGGGAACGTCTTCGTGAGCCTCTTATGGTTTCAGGATAGTTCAAATCCTATGATGCTCCGATTCAATGCTCACCGATGATCTGAGCCATGGGGCAAGTTTGTTTTCCTCAGAATCTTTTTGAACATTTCGAGAGCATATGTTTGAACATTTAGAGTGCATATGAACATATATTTACGACAGGTCGCCTCCGAGGGGATAAATCACCATGTCGAACATTGCATTTTTGTTCCTGCCTCTCGCGTTCTCTTCTCTTCCCGCTGTCCTACCTTTCGTGTCTCCCTCCTCTCAAGTTGGGACACTCGCAGCGCTACCCCCCTTTTGCAACTCTGAATGGGCACTCGGAACTTGTGCACTTGTTGCTGGAAGTTGGAGCTGACAAGATGCAGCAAGAGATAATTGGACAACCGCCAGCTATTCCGAGCCGCTGGGGGCTTTGCTCAAGGGTTTGGTCAAACGCGTTTCTGGGGATGCTGCTGCTGTCTTGGTGGGGTGCTACTGTCAGGGAGGCTGTGCGCCCGCTGCGCTGCCCGTTCTGCCATGCTGATGTGGTCCCTTGCATTGATCACGTGCTGTGGGTCTGTCCGTCCTTCGCTGCGCGAAGGGTGTTCCCGCGTCCCAATTCAGCCTTAGCTGCGCGTTTAGGCTGGGATGCTGGTTGGTCTCTTGACTCTTGTGTTGCGCTTTTGTGTCAGATGGGAACTATTAGGCGTGAAGAGCACACACCAAGGCAACAAACCTTGCAGGCGCCTATCCCTGAAGACCTTGCATGAATGGCGGTGTGTGTCCTTTCAACCCGTGTCAGGTTGGGACACTTGCAGCGCTACCCCCCTTTTGCAGCTCTGAATGGGCACTTGTTGCTGGGGGGGGGATGCAGTAAGAGAAGCTGGGGTACCTGGCCGGAAAGCGTTGTTTCTCGAAGCTGAGCTGACAAAGATGCACCAACTAAAAACATCAACCAAGGCTTGGACATGGCATGTGGATGCTGTATGCTTGTTGGATGCTTGAGCTGACAGAGATGAGATGCAGCATAAAGTCTTTGAGCGAATGTGATTTAATGTGATTTATTTATATTTATTTGATGTTGCGCTTGAAAGAGGTGAAGTTGCAGGTTCGCCGTGTGGCAGGTCCAGTTTATGGACCAGTTCCGTTGAACAGCAAAGCCCGCAGGCATGAGTATGTGTGTTTTTTCATTTTGATGGGGTGATGAGGGAAGCACAAGAGGAAAGCAGCTGGCTGCAGTGTGTGGTCGGGTAGACCCGAATCCTTGACTGAAACATCAGATATCCAATTCAGCCTTGATCGTGGATCAACACATTGTATAGATCCAAGATGTTTGGCAAAATCTGGCGGGCCTAAACAGATTCCATGCCAACATCCCAGAGCCCGGTTTTGGAACGTTTGAAGCTTGCAAAATTCGGACACCCTGGACCAATTTGCTGTTGCTTGTGTTTAGACTTGGGCTACGTACATGTTTCATTCCTCCAGTCCTCCATGTTCAATTGTTTCTTCCAGATTCGTTCGGTCCCTTTCGGTTCCTCAACCCGTCCGTTTGCCGGTTGGAACTCAAATCGATCGGGGAGAACCTGGGGCGATGCGACCAGCCCCGGGGATGGTGGGAGACCGAGGGATGGGTTTGCTGGGCCTGCTGCTGGGTGCCAGGGAATCGCCCGCAGGAGTTACTTCAAGGACGCTTCATTCATATTCAACAGGCCATCCCCGGAGGAAATCCTTTCAGACCCCCCCTAGGTGTTTTTTTGGCCAAGTGCTGGAGATACAGAGACAACGCTTTTGAGCCCAGGTTGCGAGTGAAGCCGCTTCAAAGTCTATTCTCTGTGAAGCAAACATTACTGGAGAAAGCACAGAAGGTTCTGCCCCCGGTTGATGCTCGGAGAAGTTCAGTTGCGTGCAGGATCGGATCGTGTTGTTCGTTGTTCAAGCTTGTCAAGGTAACATGTTACTTCTGGTATTTAGATGTCCAAGAGGCATGAAATGAACAACGCTCTACATTTCAGGTTGGGGCTCTGGTCCCTTTTCTGGATATGTGCACTTTGTTTTGTCGGATAGCAGCTTGGTACCGCCTGGTTCCTAGGGTTCCCCAAAGTATCAAAGCTTTGTGTCCACCGTTTGAAAACCTGCTTCGGGTTTTATTTACAGAAAACACGTGTTTGTTGTTTTCTTCTTTGATTCATGATCAACGGGGGATGCGTACCGGTTTGTAGCTTAGGAGAAGGCAAAGAGACGAGACTGCCAGTTCTTTCATGGAGAAGCCGAGTTGCCAACACACATGCTGGCAGCCATGTTGCCAGATGAAGTCTCCGTGGTCTACCAGTTGGTGACTGGGCGCCAGATGATGCTTACCGATACTCCGCCGGTCTTCAACATGGACATGGGAACAGGGCCCGTTTGTAGATAACTAAATATATATATATAGTTTAATATATATATATATTATATATTGGAAAGGTCCGTTTTCCATGTCAATCACTGCCAACCAGTATAGTGTTAGTACTGTATGATGTGTTCCCGAGTCCAAGACTTGTTTGATCAAGGCCGTGTTTCTTTGCAAGACTGGTTAACCCCTTGCACTGGCGCATCAAGCTGCTCCCCAAAACAGAAACCAGGTTTTTGCTGTTGTGTGGTTTGCAAGGCAATGGGAATCCGGAAAAAGGATGCACCAGGTCCACCAGGTGAAATTGCTTCAACCTGGTCTCTTCCCCAAGTCGACCTCTCACTCAGCTGCAAGCAGTTAATCCACCGGGGGCGAAAGAACGGACACCCTTTGGATTCATGTGGCTGGACCGTTTTGGGTCCAGCCGGCAGCCGGGTCCCGAATTCCATGGTCCACACAGATCGCCGCTTCGAGTTGGGAGTTCATGATAGGGACTGGCCGCACCACCATCTGCAACCCAATGAGTGACATTGAGTGACCGTGGCTGATGAACGAACAACCAATGTTCACTTGGGCAAAGTGAGTCCGGGCTGTACCGGACTTGGGCTGTAAGCTGGGGGTGTGGAAACAGCGGCAGTACCATCTAGACAGCAAACTGAGGTTGAAAGGTGTCTCTCCACAAGCAGCTGGGGCTTCTTGGATTCCAAAGTTGATTTGTCACACCAAAAGGATTGGAAGTGTCCAGAAGTCGAGGATGATCGGGTTGAGAGTTATCTCGGGGCAAGGATGAGGCCATTTTTCCGCTCAACTCCACCAAAATTTTGCCAGACGCCAGTTAAGAAGAGCAGGATGCATGAAATGGTGTCCACCCCCACAAGGGGCTTTTATAGAAAAGTGTCTCCCAATTCTGCCTGGGCTTGCTTTTGACCATTGCAATCGTGTGGGCACAGAAAAGCATTATATATATATATATATAAAACTATCAGGAAAGCGTCACCTGGTCCGCGGAGGGTCCCCCTTCGAAAAGACGCTGCGCGGACGTGCCCGAGCTCAGAATTCGACTCCGAGCGGCCCTCACACTACGACGAGTCCGAGTGGGGGGATGCCGCCAGCGGCGATGCCTTGTGATGCCGATGACGAGCGGGGTGTTTTGTCCCGTTGATCGGTGGGCTTTCGTTGGAGAACATGCGGCGTAGATGTGGTTAAGGGGCAATTTTGGAGGGTAGTTCCCAGGATAGACCTACGTAAGTCGTAAGTACCTATATATACGTATACATATAAGGGTATCGGAAAACAGAGTGTGGAGGTCACGCATGTTAAGGGGTACATTGCTGTTGCAGGGGTATTATGGTCAGGTTTACCGGGCTCACCTCAACATATCTCAACATGTAACTGGTCTCACCCAAACCAGCTGACGAACCTCCAAAACAGTTGCTTCTGACATTGCCTGTTCAATGAGTTTTCGGGAATAAGGAAGTCGATTGAAGTCATGGAAGTCAGGTTTTATGAGGCGAAGGCGGCGAAGGTCATGAAACTAAGCTGAACGTCCTTCGGGAAGAACCTGAACGAAAGCACCGCGGATCATCCAGTGGATGTGCCGTTGCTGGGCCGAGCACAGCCGACTGCCCGGACAATGGGCTCACCGTGGTTTGCCAGAGGAAATGGCCAAAACGACAAGGAAAGTCGCATGGAACTTGGAATGATGGGTGGTAGATCACGCACTAACATGGACCCTGAGAAGGGCACCCTCAAAGATGCTTTCCTCTACAAACTAGTGGTTTTAAGGGTCCATGTTAGTGTTCATCGGGGAAGCGAATCTGCTGAAAAGTTGACGACGGTTCTTAGTCCTTTTGGCTGAATCCACTCCAGCCGGGTTCGCCGCGACTCAAGTCGTCCGGAGGTTCAGTCCGGTCAAAGAAGTTGAAGGGAAGAAAGCAGGAAGGGCCTCGGAAACAGGTGCCAGAATTCATAAACTCACAACACATTCATTAGCAAACCGGCTAGGGAAGATGACCTCAAGGGTTTGGACATGTTCGGACGAAAGCAGAATCCTTTTTAGTCTTCCTTTAGCTAGCTTAGATAAGCTTAGATCAATATTTAGATTTGTGTGTATTTTTTTAATGAGCTTTATATTGGGAGGACGTGCGTGGTGAGCAGGTACTGTAATTGGGGGGTTCTTCTGGGTGAAGCAGCTCCGGGTTTGTGGAAGATTTTTGAGGGAGTTCAGAATCAAAAGTCGTCACTGGCTCTTCGTGAAGCCAATTCCTCGCCTGCATGTGAGCCTGAACAGCCTCGCTGCAGCAAAAACGACAGACTCCGTTTCTCGCGCTTGTTCGTGTGGACCTGCGCGTCCAGCACTGATGACTGTTCTGCTTGAGGAGGTAGGGCCAAATATGTCAAAATGAACAAATCGGTTTGCACGATTGATTTACGTGGCCACAGAAAAGTCCATAAGCCAGAAGTCACTCACAACATCTCACAACATGAAAATTCATGCTGCACGGTTTTTGTTGGTTGTCAGTCCTGTGGCCTACGATACGAAACACGCTCCCGAAAGACTCTCCAAAGAAACAGGCTACACTCGTTTTTTCACCAGGCGATCCGACGATCCAGGTGGTTTTTTACCACATGCTGTTGAAGTCAAACCCTTACTTTGGGTTTGCCCCCATGAACACAGCAAATCCAAGTCAACCAACCATTCGGCTCAACACAGCAAATCAACATAAATCAGCAGTTGATTCACCAGGTCAATGATGGATCTCAACTGATCTCAACATGTGTTGTTACAAATTCTGGGCGGCACTCCTTGATTCTCCCCAGCCAGACGGGGGTCTGGCCAGACGGGCGAACGAACTCCCCACGCTGCGTCAACGAGTCCCGCGCTAAGAATGACGAGTCCAGGTCGGGAACATCCAAGTCCTTCACGTCGTCGACCCCAAGGACGTGGTTCGACCCCTCGCGACGATGGACCATGTGTGGCGGGTGAGAATGAGAACTGGTGGTTGAAGGCCCTGGAACAAGGGGATCGCTGGGGCGGAAGCGCTTTGGAATTGGTATTTCTTGGGAGAGTGTGGAAACCTGGCTTTCAACCGAAACGACGTAAAAGACAAAACCATGGCGCCAAGGTGGTTCGAGTCTGCACCCTTTGTGCGCATGTCTCGCGGTGTGATCCCTGCCTAGCGGCGGTGGGCTTGGTCAGACCGGGTCCGAGAATCCAGCGCCAGATTTATCGTGAGGATCCAGGATCCCGTGTAGAATGGGACGACAGGCCTGGTCGAGATCCAAGGCATTTTGTGGGGTGCGCTCTTCTTCCTTGATTCCTTCACCATGTTTCACCATGAAAGAACCTGTACCCGGGATCCCCGCTAGGCTTTCTGAAGCAAGCCTTGGGCGGCCCCCTGGTCCAACGGGAGATGCTGTGTGCAGGAGCCTGCCGCGGCCACGCTCAGCCCAGAGGTGGAGAGTCAGCGTTTTGTCAGACCAGCTGATGTTCCAGACCAAGCAGGGGGAGCGATAAATGGAATCTGAGTCGAAGTATGTCGAAGTGCTAAGGTGAGCAAAGAAGAGCATGTTTTTGGTGGATCACCCGTTTTTTGGTGTACTTTACGTTGCAAGAAGTTTCGACAAAACCCAGACCCTTTTGGCGAACACGAGTCCTGAAGATTGGAACATGCCTTTTCAAACAAGCCAACGATATACATGGGAAGGGATCTTTTGCACGCTGTTCTCACATGAAACATGTGCAAGACATGGCAAGTTGATGCGTTTCGGTGGTTTTCAGGTCCATGGAGAGCCTCTCGGAGAGCCTCGGAGAGGGGCTCAAGAGGTCGGACATCCCAAAGGCATGACACATCTAAGCTGGTCGGATCTCTTAGGCTGCCATCGTTTTCATCTGGACATCCCATGCCTCATGAGGATATTGAGAGTTCATTCTTCTGGTTTATTACATGTTTATACTGATACTCTAGCATGCAGGTAGCTTCTCCCGTTGACTAAACTGCTCCCCAAAAAAATGCTTTTCTCCAAATGGTGAAGGATGGTTGTGGGATTGGAAAGGTTGCCCTTCCTCTGATCCACACTGATCCACGGAGCTCTTAGAGTCTACACTCCACACATCTCTAGACCCCTGGTGCAGGTTGTGCCGGTGCCAGTGGAGGAGGATGAAACCAACTTTTGGTTCACTTGTTGCGCTGGGGACCCCAAAAGTCGTCGGTGATGCCACGCCGCCAGGCCGGTAATTTAGCCAGCTCATTTGTTTTGATTGGGCCTGGTCAGCTTCAAGGGACTCTCTAAATCTCTGAATGCGAAGGGATGGTGTTTAAGACGGTTTAAGATGCTTAAGAGCTTTTGCCAAACAGGAAAGCTCCCTCCAGAAGCTGCATACATCCTCCTAATCCTAACGGTTGTAAGGTGTTCTTTCTTTTTTCTGGCGAGGTGTTGCCCTATACTGGCAGCCTTCTTAAAGAGAAACTCTCCATCCACCTGTTCAACACAATGAGCAATGACCTCTATGGAACAACACACGCAGCCGGGTGAACACCAATTACATCCAATTACTGAGTCTCCCTCACCCTGTCCAAATGATCATGTAGATCATAGATAGGAGGCTTTACCATGCTTTACCCCTTTGCCTTCACAAATAATGGATATCCTGGTCCCCAGATGTGCTTTTTTCGGTGCTCAGGTCCTCACCATTTGTGCTGCAAACATCCAGCCTGACCATCCCAAAGACATGGAAACCATGTATGAAAGCGTGGAGGAACACATGTTTGCACTTGTCCAAGCATGTATGAAAACTTGTTTGAGAGACTTCTGAAGTTCTCACATGTATGCCAACTAGTGCGTTCTCCCCAACTTGGACCAGAAGGCCCCGCTCCTCGCATCTCCTCGCGCTCTCTCCGGACAGCGCGCTCCGCTCTCCCGAGGCCGGCTCTGCGGCCGTGGCCGAGGGCAATGATCTCCACGTGACGCCTGAGGAAAGAGATCCGACGACGGTCGGTGACGGTCGGTGACGACGGTGACGAGCGATCAGGTCGGTGAGAAGAGGAAAGATGAAAAAAACCATGGAGAGCTGCTTAGTTCTATATGTTGTTCCTTTTGGAGTGTTTTTTAAACATACTGCGGGTCAAGTCAACTTATTTTTGTTGTAGAAGAACAAACCTGGAATATCTTGGGGAACATGGTCTCTTGGGATTGTGGAAAGAACTCTTCAAGCCGCCAGGATCGTGGAAACTATGGCACCTTGGACGGCTCAGGCGCGATACCTGGGCCGTGGCTGCAGCGGGGGTCCAAATACGAATGCCCTTATCCAACACAAGCTGTCCTGAAGTCACCTACTGTCGGTCCTAAAGCTACCTACAGTACTGTTCAGAAAGGTGCCCAACAATCCGCGCTTTTCGGAGTGTTGAACATGGCCATCTCGGGAGATCCAGCAAATCACACGTTGGTTTCAGGTCGATTGAGAACAAATGCCAGATGGACACTGGTCCCAGAAATGGCCGCATAGCGGTCACCAGTGGGAAGACCTTCGCAGTCCGATTCCAGTATTTGCTTCTCTAGAAAGGACCCCCAAAAGTCAAGGATCATCCACTATTGCAGGATATTGCAGGATTATCCCTCTTAGGTGAGCATTGGAAGATATTGGAAGAAATCTGTGGAAGACAACTTTGCTTAATGGAGGCATAGGTCAAGCAAAACCTGCATGACCGATAGAGGCTACTGGTTCACCGATACTCTTGGTATACGTGTGCTTTCATGCTGGCAGATGTGGAAAGTTCCTTTCGAGTCAGTTTCTAGTCAAAACGGTGTTGCCTCAGTTTGTTGGGTGCTAGTGATGGTCAACGTCTATAGAAGCTGTGCCCAATACCCAACCGATATCAGCCGATATCGTACTTTTTACATGCGGTCAACTTAAGTTAAGCCGACCGATTGTCTTCTTGCATATACAATTTGAAATTTGCCTTGTGATTCTTGATGGGTTATGGGAAGTGAGCTGCAGCCACAAAAGCGCATACTCTTCCTCCAGCAACAGTTCGTTTGCATGCTCTTAGGATCACTTGTAAAGATTCTTCAACATGTGTAAATGTTTCGCTTGTGTACAAGTCTCATCAGATCTGACCCAAAGAGATAAACACCTGCTAAGCCCTCAGCTTCACTTTCTCAAGCCTGGGGAAGTGCCAAAAGCATTCAAAATCATGATACCCGATAGGGGCCGACCTTGGGTATGGCAGTTAAGCTAAGTTGAGAATGTATGAGAAGGTATGTGTTCCGCAACTGAGGTGAACATGCCTCCCTATTCCTCCCTACACTACATGTTCTGGTTTTGTTTGCCCATCGAAACAATGTTGTATTATGTTATGTTATGCTATGTTATGTTATTAACTATTTATATGTCAAAAGATGTCAAAAGCAACATTGTCAGCTACCAGTGATGCGCGTTGGATTGATTTGGACACCAGAGCCCTAGGTGATGTGCTGACACCGGTGGTGCTCTCGAATGGTAAGGCCGCTTTTTTTCCTCCAGGAAATGACCTTCGACTGTCCTGCCCAGCAAACATGGTTGGAATGATGAAGAGTGCCTTTGCCCAGATCGACCAACTGTGGCACCTAAGAACTGCTGTGGTAAGTAGCAACATTGAAATGGACAATTGCAATGCGTTTGAGCAGATGTACGAATTGTGTGATTAACAGGGAGCAGAGAGCTATATATATATATAACTAACTGGTTACTCTCCAACACCTGCAGATCACCAGATGGACAACCCACTGCGGATCACCAGTTGCGAGTTGAAAAGCACCCAGAAGCAAACAGGCAAACAGGGCAAGCGGCTCTCAGTAAACTATTCGTTGGGTCCGGCTCCAATGAGTAAGTTGATTGCTGGTAAAACTTTCTCGCATACTCTAGCTATTTTGCAGGTCACAGCCATACTCGCCATGACAACCACCAGCAGTGGGTCTCAGTGATTCTTCTTTACCAGTTCTGGGGCCGGAAGGAGCTACCAAGCCCCGTCGCTCGTCCTACCCTCCTCGTGGTTGCGTGCGCTCCGAAGGTAAGGTGGGAGGGACCCCCAAAAAGGTGAAAGGTCCACGAATAATTCCATTGATGAACAATGGTGAACATACTTGAGCAGGTCAATTAGTTTGGGATACGGTACATCAATGTACATCAACACATCATCACAACATTTCCAGGCGCCACCTACTATAGGGGAATGCACTCCGCGAATTCAGCGCTTTGTTTTGCTGCACTTGGCACTTCGGTTTGCCGGTCAAGGTAGCTCACACCTTCCCGCAGCCACCCAGCTCAGGCCCGGCTTGTTGGGGGATTCCACGGTGGGGATGCTTCCATTGATGTAGTGATGTAGAAGGTTCCACGGTCTTTCTATTCATCATTATTCATCGCTTGTTGGGGTCCGGGTGTATCAATCCTGAGAGAGGACTACTACTGTCTGGGGGATCCGAAAACATGAGGAGAATCGAGTCTTTGTGGTCCCCAGGTCCAGGGATTCGGAACTTGAACCAAAGACTTGCAGCTGAAGCTGAGCATGGGGTACAACACGTCCTGCAAATTTCAGAAGCTATCTCCACTTTGGCTGCAAGGTGGGCGAGAACACCACAGGCACACCAATGCAAATCCATGCGAATGCACCAACGCCTGTGCCGTCCAAAAGCAGTTCACTTGTACCACAACCAATCCGGCTCAGCTACGTGGGCTCCGGCTCAGCTGGGCCTCGGTCACGAACACCGAGAGGGTCGAGGATCTCCATCGGTGTTCATCACTCCGATCTCCGAAGGGAAAGCGGAAAGCGAAGAGACGCGCCATAAGAATAGGGCCCCAACTTGAAATATGGCAACCTCTTAGGATGACCCTCAAACTTGCATAGCACTGGTTTTGAACAGCAGAAGGTGACTGTGGATTGCCCCGCAAGAGCAAACATGGAGGACATGTCAGGCTCCAGTTTGCACGGTTTAGAGATTCGACCTTGCAGCGCAGCTTTGAGGCACTCGGTCTGGAGCACCTAAGGCGAGGGAAGCGAGGGGTGCTCCAGGCATAATAATTTGAAGTCAGGAAGATCTCCAGTTTCCATGGTGCTTTAATGGTCAAAATGGAGCCTAGAAGCAGTTTTGTGTCATAGACCAGTCTATGATGGTAATTACGTGGTAAAACCGTGTCTTTTTTAGGTTTTAGATGGATGTGGAGCTGGGCTGGAACTGCACGGGAACTGCAGTTGGATCTAGTTGGACCACTTTAGATTGGGATCCAATTTTCAGCCTCATCCAACCACGAGCTCTTGCCGTGCAATCAAATGTTTATCATCGTTTATCTCTACGAGTTGGGGCTGCTATCCATATGGAACGCCACAAAAGCCTACGGGCGTACCATCGAAGGTTATCGTGGTCTGGTAGGGAGCCACCTTGGTTGGCATACACCCCTGAATTGGCTGCCTGGAGTACATGAAATCAGATAGGTTTGTTCTGTAGCAAGGACGCTACGAACGTAGCTCCTGGCATTAGTAGACTAGTAACAAGATGTAACAAGCAGCTACGAACATAACGTACAGGGCATCGCGACGAACGAAGGGCAGCTTCGGTCGCTCCGAATGGCCGGGTGGTCCGTCTGTCGGTCGCTCTGGACGGCGACCAGTCCTTCCACCGGGCGGGTCCGACTGGATGGAGAAGCCTCGGGGGTCCAGATGTCTTGAGCTTCAGCTGGTGGATTCCGGAGGTTTTCCAAGGCCCAACGGTTCCGAAAGCAGTCCAACATAGGCCGAAAGCCAGCATTGTTTCGTGAGCTTGACCCCATTCCTGGCCTCTAGAATGAAAAGGAACCAGGTGGTCACCTGGTCACCCCAAAAAACTCGGTTGTTACATGTTGTTACAAAGTGAAAGTCTGTGTCAAAAAACATGGGGAGCTGGCCTGGAACAGGTCAATTCAACTTGGACAAGATACTCACTTACTTGGTGCGCGGCCCCTCTTGAGGCGTAGATCATCCCCCATGACGTTCCCACGCTTCCTCCATGTCGCTGGTCCACGGAACCGTGAGGCCGTCCCAAACCGAGCTCAGGCGGGGTTGGGATGAGCGAGCAAAAAGTGACTGAGTGGCTGTGAACTGGCATGCCGTTTGGGGTCAAAATCGGCAAAGCAAGACAAAATTCTAGACTCTAAAATGCTGCTTCTTGCTTGGAGGGGAGTAATTTCAGATCTCCCACGTTGACATCTCCCTCGTTGTGTATTTCAGCCCATAGCACAAGTCCTTCAGCGCCAAGTCTTACTGTTTTGTCCGAAGCGAATGCTTTCATCAGGAGACCTGTGCCCAACTAATAATACAACTCAGATCATGTCAGTAGTAGTCGTACTGGGCGGCCCAAAACTGGGAAACTTCCGGGGCCCGAGCAGTAGTAGTAGTAGTAGTTGTTGTTGTTGTTGTTGTGGTTGTGGTTGTGGTAGTAGTAGTAGTAGCAGTAGCAGGAGTAGTAATAGTAGTAGTAGTAGTAGTGCGGTGGTAGTCGCAATAGAAGTGCGCAGTTCGGGGCCCGACCTTCTGGGCCGGAACCTTGCAAACGTCCGGGGCCCTAGTAGTAGTAGTAGTAGTAGTAGTAGTAGTAGTAGTAGTAGTAGTAATAGTAGTAGTAGTAGTAGTAGTAATAGTAGTAGTAGTAGTAGGAGTAGGAGTAGTAGTGGGAGTGGTAGTGGTAGTGGTAGTGGTAGTAGTAGTGGTAGCAGTAGTAGTAGTAGTAGTAGTAGTAGTCGTGGTGGTGGTGGTGGTAGTAGAAGTAGTGGTAGCAGTAGCAGTAGTAGTAGTAGTAGTAGTCGTCGTCGTCGTAGAAGTCGTAGTATTGGTAGTCGTAGCATTGGTAGTAGTTGTTGTTGTAGTAGTTGTTGTAGTTGTAGTTGTAGTAGTAGTTGTTGTTGTTGTAGGAGCAGTAGTAGTAGCAGTAGTAGTGGTATAGTAGTCGTAGTAGTAGTAGTAGTAGTAGTAGTAGTAGTAGTTGTTGTTGTTGTTGTTGTGGTAGTAGTAGTAGTAGTAGTAGTAGCAGTAGTAGTGGTAGTAATAGTAATAGTAGTAGTAGTAGTAGTAGTAGTAGTAGTAGTGGTTGTGGTTGTGGTTGTGGTTGTAGTTGTGTGGTTGTGGTTGTGTTTGTGGCTATGTGTTTGTGGCTGCATTTGTGACTGTGCTTGTGGTTGTGCTTGTGGTTGCGTCTTTGTCGTTGTGGCTGTGGTTGTGTTTGTGGTTGTGTGTTTGTTGTTGTGTTTGTGGTTGTGTGTTTGTTGTTGTGTTGTTGTGCTTGTGTTTGTGGTTGTGTGTTTGTGGTTGTGTGTCTGTGGCTGTGTGCTTGTGGTTGTGTGTTTGTGGTTGTGTGCTTGTGGTTGTGTGTTTGTTGTTGTGTGGTTGTGTTTGTGGTTGCGTTTGTGAGTGTGTTTGTGGTTGTGGTTGTGTGGTTGTGTTTTTGTGGTTGTGTGTTTGTGGTTGTGTTTGTGGCTGTGTGTTTGTTGTTGTGTATGTGGTTGTGTGCTTGTGGTTGTGCTTGTGGTTGCGCTTGTGATTGTGTTTGTGGTTGTGTGTGTGGTTGTGTGTTTGTGGTTGTGTGTTTGTGGTTGTGTTTGTTGTTGTGTTTGTGGTTGAGGTCCGGTCGGGAACACTGGGCGCGGGTGGTCGCGGTTGAGGTCAGGCAGGGAACACTGGGCGTGGATGGTCGTGGTTGAGGCGGAGGAGAAGGAGGAGAAGGCGGAGAAGGAGAAGGAGGAGGAGATGGGGCTGACATAAAATCTAACAACCCTCACCTGACAGGTGGGGAAAAACAAACAAAACATGGGTAGAAAGAGCAACATTCATGCGTCCTCCGGCGACCTGATGTTCAATATGCGTCCGCCGGGCCATGAAGATCGTCCCACATGTGCTTTGGGATGGCAGAAATGGGAACTCGGTCGATTTGACTTGTCGCTGCCTGGGCTTCGGAAAGGAAAGATAGAGCAGGGGGAGGAAGCATATGGCCTAGTTAAGATGCGGGTTGCCAGATTCATGGCAACATTTGGTGAATCTTGTCGTGAAATCACCACATATCACCCCAACTTCGCCAGAAATCGCCTGCTTTCCCGACCAAGCGAGGCCGGGGTGGTTGATTTGCCAAGGCCTGTGGAGGGGTCGGAGTGACAGATATTTTTTTGCACTTTCCAAGTGCAGAATGAGATCAAACAGGAGGGAGCAGCCGGAGCAGCTCAGAAAAAAGGGGATGGGGCCTTCTTACATTCTTGAACATTCTGGAAGTGCCCGGATCTTTCCATCTCCCTGGGCCCAAAACCATTTTTTGATTCGGAAAGCTCGGCTTCGATTCCCAAAAGCTCACATCTCGGGGCATTCAGTTCGTTGTGGACCCACCAATCGTAGGCCACATGTTGGTTGGGCCTTGCCTCGTGTTGGGAGGCAGCTTGGGTCCTATTTGTGGTAGCTGGCATTTGCCCTCCGCTTACCCCATACTAGAGCTGTAGAGCTAGGAATCTATTCAAGTTCTTTGCTGCGTGGTCTTCTCATGCTTGACCAAAAGGGTCCGGGACCCATGTGATCTTTGGACAAACACTCAAGAACAAGAACGTGGTCTCCAGCACATCAAGGCCTTTTTTGCGAGGCTGACCTGAAAAATCTGAAGCAGTTTCTCTTTTCCTCAATGAACGCGTATTCAACAAGTGTGCAGCAAGAGTCGTCAGTTTTCTGTCAGAGTCTTCGATTCTAGCCACGGAGTAGCAAACAACTGACGTGACGTGCCACTTTGCTAATACAGCTTCAGGCAAAACAATAGTTTTAATTTATGTGCACAATATATATAACTATACATGGTATACTATGATATACTATATATGTTGTGTCATAGCATATTATATATCATCTAATAGTCACTCGCAGGGTACCTTTCAGTACTTTTTTAACACTGACAAACAATAGATCCATCATGAGTTTGAGCCTCGCGGGAGGCATATCTCCAACCCCATCGATCCTTTCTCAGATAGTCCGATGCTCAGAATGGCTTAGACCGGGTCAGATCAAGCAAGCGAAGCAAGGGGTTGTTCTCCTGAGTCAACCTTTGCCGGTGCTTGCTGAGCGGGTGTACTTCTGGGTACTACAGTTGATGGAAGAAGACTTGTTTCATTCACCTGCTAAAAATGTGTTTCCTTTTCGGGGGATCCAAGCTTGCAGATCGTTCTCACCCAATATTTGCATGTCTCCAAATTCTATCAAATTCTATGCTTCTTGAATCCGTCGCCTGCATCTTCAGACTCAAACATGCTCAGCAGGCAACAAGACACATGAGATATGTTGCTTTCTAACTGACCCCTCCGTAGACTTAGGGTTTGTCCCATCACTGTCACTGTCTCAATCTGTAAAACTTACAACTATTGCCAGCTCTTTCTTGGGAAAGGTGTTTTAAGCATTCTTATCCCCTACTGTAATCACCGACTATCTTGATATATGCGAGCTAGACTAGTCATGCTGGTCATAAGGCCAAACAGTTGGTTGGGACAATGTCTCACTGCTGACTGAAACCGGGTATCTAGTTGCCGCATGTTCCCGCAACTGATCCCTTTGTCGGCAACAGCTAGTTGAAGAGGTGTCGCACAAAATCGTTTGAGATCACTGTACAACTTGCAATCTTCACTGTTGAGCATAATTTGAGTTTAATATGCATACTGTGTATGTGTATGTATATATTATGTGTACAGATGGATTGAATGTGTTCTTGTGCTTCGGTATAGATCGACTTTCCGACGAGATTCTTTTCCTTCTAGTAGTAACACCGTACTACTAGTAACAAGAAGCTTCTAGTAGCAATGCACTTAGCCTAGTATAGCGATGCACTTGTTGCTACCCGGACCCAATCCATTCTCACCCACTCGCCGGTGCACACAGACAACCACCACGCCGCTGCAGATACTGGAAGGGGATTTTTGACCTTTTCCTTCCTGGACGTACCTGGAACGATCCGATGAACGTATTGAATCATCTCCAAGGGAGCAAGTTAGCCATGCGGGTTTCCGCAAGGAGGGTCGTCCCCTTGTCCTGCACCGAGGATGAGCCGCGCTGAGCGCGCGATTGCTTCGGTTGCTGGCGCCGATGGTGAGGCCGCTGCCTGGACTGTGATCGGCATGATACGAAAGGAGAAGCATGTGCAGGATGATCCTGCTTTTCCAAGAACACTGAGAGGTTCAGCAGCTTCTTCTCCACCTGAGGTTTGGTGCATTGAAAGAGTGGAATGGTTTCAAATGAGCGAAGGTAGGAGTGGCTTGAGGGTATTTTTCTTGAGGTTATTCTCATTCTGCATGGAAGATGGAACAAGCAGCTTTGTTCAGGTCGCTGTTTGTTGCAGCAGAAGATGCTGCGGTGTTGAAAAGCTTTCATCAGCTTTCATCAGCGAACTCCAGTTTCCTTCGGGAGATCATCTTGGGAGTCCCTTAACTCGAGAGCCAAGGAAATATCCAACAGGTGCGAGTTCCGTGGACGGTGAGAGTTGCGACCCTCATTCCCGGACGGACCTCATGGTTGACATCTCCACCAGAGAGGTGTTCAAGTGCTATAGTCACTCAACGGCAGATGGTTGTGGACAATAGAAGCAACTATAGCCTTGACTATCCTGGAAGTAGACGTCACATGCCCTTTGCAGTGGACTAGTACTGGAGTCCGCTTGTAGCTGTTGCAATTCAGTCGTCAAACCTCCATACCTAGGTTGTTAATCACCCACTTCCAGATGTTTTTTGCAGTTGGATTGGGCTTGTCTCGAAATGTCCAGAGTCTGCTTCAATGAAAACTCTATGTGTGGGTTTTTGACATCCAATTGCGACGTTTGCGTTGATTTCACCAATTCTGATGGCTTTTCTGAGCGGTCTACCGTCACAGACAGAAGGTCCGTCCGCAGATGGTGGTTGGTGGCTGAAGAGAAACTTTGGTCATTGACCGCACAGTTTCACTGCGAATAAATGGCCTTTAGGGTCGTGGACATCCTTTTATAGGATCTTTATGACGCACATCGATACATGGTTTCAATAATTAAAGAAACATAAATATATATAAATATATTGAATAGATGTATATAGAATATGTTAGATTGTTTGATTTATATAGGTTGCATTACATGCTCATTGATTCTTAATAATGCTATTTCAGGGGCTTGCGCCCGACAGCTAGAGGGAGGTGGCAGAGGTACAGGTAAATAGGTGAGAGCGGTGTCGGCGGTCGTGGTTCTGATGGTGGTGATGGTGGTTCTAGTTGTGGTCGTTTCCGCGATGGTGTGGCGGTTCTGATCGTGTGGTGCTGGTTGTTTTCCTGGATGTTGTTGACGTTGCTGCTGTGGTGGGGGGTTGTAGTTGAGGTTGGTGATGGCGGTTGTTGTAGGTGTTGGTGGTGGGTGTTGCGGTTGATGTGGTGATGGTGGTGGTGGTGGTTCGTGCTGCAGTGGTGGTGGTTGTAGTAGCTGTGGTCGTTGTTGATGTTGTGGTGGTGGTGGTGGTGGGGGTTGTTGCTGCTTTGACCAGAAACAGAAGCAGAAAGTGCCAATATTGCAAGCCAATTCGGGGCGCATAACTCGCATCGTGGTGTTTTTTTGTGCCATTTTGAAGCAAAAGGGGTACCTATATGAACACGTTAAAGATGCATAAAACTTCTAGAACTTTACACGGGCACGCCTTTTGATCTTTTTCTTAGTGGTGGTTGGCTTTTAGGGACCGCTTTCGGAGAGTGTTTTGCGGATTTGTTAGGGCTAGCCTTTGGTTGGCGGATATTTAAGGTTATGTATTTGTTAGTTGAATGAATTAATAAAAATTTGATTTTATTTCGAAGAAATTAATTGAAATAGTAATAATTTGAGAATTGATATTAAGAGAATTGATGACATATTATGAGGTTAGGGAGATTGATATATGATGATTATATATATATATGTATAATATTAATTGAATTAGTAATATAGAAGGGGGAACGATGGAATTTGGGTATTTATTTTTTATAAAATTTTATAAATATTAGGTAAATATATTAATATTATAATTTAAAGCAAAAAATAATAAATTGGTTGGACTCCTTAAAATTAGAAAAAAAACTTTGGGAAAACCAAAAAAATAATTCTTAGAGATTCTTGGTTGGATTTTTTTTAGATTTTTATAGAATTGTTTTTTGTTTTCTTAAGGTTTGTTTTGGTTTTTTGATGTTTTTGATTTTGGGGGGTCTAAGTCTTAGAATTATTTTATATTTTTATGGTTGCTTAAATTTTTGGAATTTAGTATCTGAATTTATTTCTTACATTAAGGCATCTATTTTTTTTCTTTACATCTGAAACCGTCTGAGCTTAACACTTCTTTTATCTTTGTCTAAATTTCTATATACAAATCTGAATGCATTAATTTTTGATTGGTATTAATGCGGTTGCTATTTGCTTTTCTAAACAATTTGACATGCAATTACGAGGACACTTTGTCCATTATATGAAATGGTTGGTAATTCCTTTCTAATTCAATTCTTATTTAATTTTAAATAGGTCATACATAGGTACGATATAATTCAATACAAATTTAATTAAAATTTAAATGTAATTTAATTCTATTTTAATTCTAATCCAATTTAATTCTATTTAATTCTATTCTAGCTCTAGTCTATTTAATTTTGGAAATGTATACTACAAAACCCCCGTGTTTTACAGTATTTTTTGCCCTGGAAGTGCTGGGAACAAGATTAAAATTCTTTTTTGGAATAAATAATTAGATTTATTTATTGTTAGTAATCATTGGAGATAATATATATATATATTAAATATGTTTTATGTACAAATTTCTAATTCAAGAGATTCCCTCTAGATCTCTGGGGATGATTATTTCTAAAATAAAATTATATATAAGTTTTCATTTTAAAAATCTTCTTCTGGATCTCTGGAAATGGTCATGTTAATTTAAACATACGATATATAAATAAATAAATTTTTCTTTCAATAATTTTCCTTTCATGAAAACACATATATACATATATATATATGGGATATATATTTTCCCAGAGATCTTGAGGAAAGCTTTGAAAATGTAAGCTCTTGCCCGCAGAAATCTAGAAGAAAATTTGTTAACATACAAGATTTCTATATAATTGTTTAAATCTAAACATGATTATCTACAGAGATCTATAGAGAATTGTTTAAAACATAAAAACGTCTATATACAATCTTTCTAAATCTAAACATAACTATAAGCAGAGATCTAGAGGACAATTGTTAAAACGACCACTTTTATGACCTATTTCTTTTCTAATTATCTTGTTTAAAACCATCTGAATGATTGATTGTTGCTTCCAAAACAATAAGATTATCCTGACTCAGGAATACATAATATATTTGTTCATATAGAGTGAGAGCAAGAATAGATATGCGTATTTATATGGAGAGGGGTTGTCACTGAAGCATTTACCTAAAATTTTGGGGAAAACCAAAACCCAGGCCCCACGGCCAGATAATGGTATAATGATAATTTTAGGCGTTTCGATATTTGGATAAATATATTTTTTCGATTATATGTATTGTTTATTTTGAGATAAATATTTAGTAAAAATTTTTGTTTGGGATTAATTGAATTATGATTATTAATATATTGTTTATTCAATAAAATTGCGGGGGTTGGGATTTTAAATAATTGTGTTTATGTTTTTTGTTTTTCGATTTTATGAGGAATTGTGTTTTTGTAATATTATATAATTGTTTATATATATATTGAAATGATTGTGTAATGGATCTTGGTGTTTTAGATAACTTGATTCTATAACAGAATTGTTTATATGTTAGGGATTGTAATATTCGTTTGATTCCGAAGTCCGAGAATATGTTCTTGAGATTATTTAAAAGAACCTTGAGGAATGGTTTCTTGGATAAATTTTGGATAAATTCGATATATTTATCTATAATTGTTTTTATATTGATTATGTCTTGTAATTGTATTCTTATATTTTTTGCAGATCCTTATATCTTGATTCTATAGATATTAATTGTCTCATTCTAATTGAAAAATATCTGTTCGACAGTAATTTAGGATTTTTATTTTACATAAATTCTTAATATTCGCAATTTTTGATAGGCTCATGGCCTTCAATTTTATAGAATTGATTCCTTATTTTTGGATTATTTTCCTATATTATTTTCAATTATTATATAAGATCAAAAAGTAATCATTTTTTGAGGGGGGTTGGTCCCAACATTTTAACATTATAAAATCCTTAATGCCGGGGTACCCACTTAATATCAATCTTTCTATATTTTTTTTGCGAAGACAACATTTATGTGTTGATATATTTGGAGGACGCCCGGCTCAGGCTAGATGAGCCAATTTAAAATTGGATTTATTAGATCATGTTTTTATATATAAAATTGTAATTCTTCAGCCCATTGCATATATCTTGTTGAACATATAACATAACAAACAAATATAAATGCCTTTAAATATAGATGATGAGGTTGAAATTCATAATCGGATAAATCGGGCAAATTTTCCTGAAATTTTGAAGATTCCTGAAAAATGAAAAATCGTTTTTTGAAAGAAATTGATTTTGATTTTGGATATTTTCCGAAATTTTGAGATTTCTATTTTTGATGGCAATACAATTTTTCTCGAATTTTGGACATATTTGATTTCATGGAAATCAAAATCTTCAATATGTTCTTGATTTTCTGGATAGATTTGTCAAGATGCATGTCACTAATGTTCGCCGTTCCTAAATGTCATCATTGAATCGAATCTATTCATATTTATTTTAAGATATGGAATGGATTATATTTTCTATTGCAATCGAGAATGAAGATATAGCAAATAGAATAGACCCAATTAAAATATTAGAAACAAAATTTTCTCATGTATATGTAACCCCACACGAAATAGGTTTGAAATCAGAATGCGATGGCTTAACATTTCCTGCAATGCACAATGTTTAGCCAAGGAATAATCGTGATCAATAGATTTTCTCAATGTTTGGATATTTATTTTCCTTTGGTATAGGAATGGGGATTTTTAGGTAGTTATTAATATTGGATTGTATTGTCCAGAAGTTATCATGGGA